TGCTCATGGCGCGCGGGCGAGCCTTGAACTCCGCCGGCTCGGGCTCCGCCGACGGCTTCGGCCCCCCCGCCAGCGGAACAGGGGCCGAGTCCTCCATAGCCGTGCTGCACAGCCCGACAGCGAGCCGCACGTCTCCTCGACCGAACACCTCCGCCCGAGGCGCGCCCGACGCGTTAGTTCGTCCCCGCACGGCGCGCGCTCACACGGCCTCCTCCTTGCCCTCGAGCGCGGCGACCTTCGCGACGAGGCCGTCGACCGTCGCCTTGAGCGCGGCGACCTCGTCCTTGAGCGCGGCGATCTGGTCCTCGGGCGTCGGCGCGCGCTTGCTGAGGTGGCTCATGGCGATCTTGAGCGCCGCGAGGCGCGACGTCTGCTCCGGCGCGTCGGCCGCGGGCGCCGCGGCCGCGTCGCCGTCGCCGTCGGCGGCCGCGGGCTTCTCCGCGGGCTTGATGGAGGCCATGAGGCCGCTGATGCGCGTGCCCGCGTCGCCGAAGGCCTTGCGCGCGCCCTCGGTCATGGAGCTCGCCACGGACGCCTTCTTCTCCGCGCCGTCGTCGGCCGCCGCCGCCGCCTCGGCGCCGGCGTCGCCGCCCTCCTCGAAGGACTTGTCCGGCGACGCCTTGTCGGACTTGGCCATGAGCTTGGACATGGACTCGCCGACGGCGGAGGCGCGCTTCGACATGCCCGCGAGCCACTGGGCCGAGCCGCCGGCCTTGTCGCCGTCCTTGCCCTTGCCGCCCGAGAGGAAGAGGACCTTCTTCATGGAGCCCTTGCCGTCGGACGCCGTGCCCTCGCCTACGGGTGGCGGCGTTCTCTTCGGTCGCGCGCGGTCCGTTTCCATCGCGCGGGCGGGCGCACCGGTGATGGACGGCACGTCCTCGGCCGCCGGCGCCGACTCCGGCGTCTCCGGCGTCGCCTCGGACGGCGCGTCGCTCGCCGGCTCCTCGGCGGCGGGCGCCGCGTCCTCGGCGGGCTTTTCTGGGGTCGCCTCGTCGACCGCCTCGTTAAGCATCGTGTTTAAGCCGGCGAGATGACACGACACAAAGCTTGGCGGATGAGGCGCGACGCTGCTTGTGGTGAAACTCGTTTCCATCGTCAATCAAAACCTTTGCCTTCGCAGCCCAAGATGTGGCCCACCCATGAGAGAGGCCCGCGCCACGATGGCCGCCTTCGACGCGCAATACGACGCCCAGGCCGCGTGGGAGGAGCGGCTCTTCGCCACGGTGCCCCAGCCGGCCCAGGTGCGCGAGGCCGCGGACATGCAGTCGGCCAAAGTCTCCGTGCTGGGCAAGGGCACCGTCGTCCAGGTGCTCGACCGGTGCGTGCTCGACAACGGCACGGTGCGCGTGCGCGTCGCCCCCGCGGAGGACGCGGGCCTCGGCGGCTGGCTGAGCGCCAAGGTCCTGGGCGACTGGCGCGCGCTGCCGCCGTCGCGGGGCGCGATCAAGCGGCTGCACTACGGATGGAAGGCCGGCAGCGAGTTCTCGCTCATCTCGTCGAAGACGCCCGACGGCGGCGTCTTCTTCCTCCGCGGCGTCGTCGGCGCGGACCCGGCGCCCGGCGCGCCGGCGCCGACCGTCGTCGTGTTCGCGCACGGCGGCGGCTACAACCTGGGCGTCTGGATCCCCGTCATCGAGCACCTCCACGTGCTCTGGAGGGAGGCGGGCGAGACCTACGAGGTCGTCGCGCTGGACTGGATCGGCCACGGCCACGGCCGGCGGCTCCCCGGCGAGGGCACGGCGGCGGACCGCTTCGACATCGCCGCGCTCGGCCCGGACGACGTCTTCGCGATTTTAGACGACGCCGGCGCCGACGACGCGCGCTTCGCGACCGCGGGCCGCCGCGTCGTCGGCGTGGGCCACTCCAACGGCGGCATGATCCTCGCGCTGAGCGAGCAGCGGCGGCCCGGCGCCTTCGCGGGGCTCGTCCTCTTCGAGCCCATCATTTACGACTCCGACGCGCTCGGGACGACGGCGAGCGACAACTTCCTCTGGCTCGAGGGCATGGCCGCGAAGCGCAAGTACGAGTTCGAGGTGGGCCGCGAGGACAACTTCGGCGTCGCGAGCCGCTACTTCGACAAGGCGCTCATGGGCTGGGAGGCCGGCGCGAAGCGCTACTACGTCGAATTCGGCATGCGCGAGGTCCGCCGCGTCGGCGCGGCGTCCGTCGTGCTCTACTGCCCCAAAGATGTGGAGCAAGCGCTCTTCGCGAACACGCCCGTCTCCGCGGCGAAGGCGTTCCGAAATCTCGGGAGCATCCGCTGCCCCGTCCGCGTTTGCTGCGGGGGCGCGTCGAAGACTTTGGGCAACACGGGCCTCGAGGCGCCCGAGGCGAGCGTGCGGCTCAACCGGGCGAACTTTCGACGGATCAGCGACGCCGTCGCGAGCCCGCGGAAGGCGGCGCTGCCGGGCTTGGAGAGCGACGGCCCCGTGGCAGTCTGCCCCGCGCCGGCGACGCACGACATCCCCCAGATGGACGCGGCCTGGTCCGCGCGCTTCGTCGCCGCGTCCCTGCGCCACGACCTAAACTAGAACACCGCCGCGCTCGTCGAAGCCGCCGCTCGTTTACGCCCAATCTAGTTGGTCCCGCGGCCCTTCTTCATGGTCATGGCCTGGGTCTTGAACGCGCGGTGGTGCGCCGTGCCGCCGTAGATCTTCTTGTCCTTCTGGAACGTCGTCAGGATGCCGTCGGGCATGGCGTTCTTTGGTCGGCCGTAGGACTGGAACCACTGCTCGAGGTTGCCCACGGACGGCTGGAAGGGCGCCGCGCGCGCCTCGCGCGCGTCCGCGCGGAGCTGGATCTCCTGGTCGAGCACGTCGAGCTCCTTCTGCGCGCGGGCGATGCGCCGCACGAGGTTGTTGCACTCGTTCGTCTGGTAGACGCGCTTCACCTCCTCCGAGGGCTGGTAGTACTCGAAGAAGCCCGGGCGCTTCGACACGGCGACGGCGACCTCGAGGTTCTTGCACGTCTGCTGCGCCGACTGGATCAGCCCCCCCTCCTTCGTCAGCACGGTGTTCAGCTTGTCGCTGAGCTCGCGCTGCTCCTGGAGCTTCTGGAGCTTCGAGGCCGTGAGGTCGTTCATGGCCGCCCCCGAGGCGCGGCGCCCCAGCACCAGCACGCAACAGAGAGAGGCGTTCGCGCCGAAGATACAAAAACTTCATCGAGGGCTGCCTCGCCGGCGTCGACGATGATGATGGCGGTCGCGGTCCGGCTCGCGTCGCTGCTCGCCCTGCGCTGCGCCGTCGCCGTCGACGTCTGGATCGACACGGACAACTCCGCGGGCGTCGGCGGCGGCGTGCGCGACGTCGACGACGCCTGGGCGCTGCTCCACCTGCTCAACGCCAAGGACGTGCACGTCGTCGCCGTCTCGACGGTCTTCGGCAACGCGGACGTCGACGCCGTGACGAAGGCGACGCGGGCCCTGCTCAAGGCCTCCAGCCACACGGGCGTGCCCTGCTTCAGGGGCGCCGCGCGCGCCGGGGACCGGAACACGACGGCGAGCCGGCGGCTCCGCGCGCACCAGGGCAGCAAAAGGGTGATTCAACGTCGCTTCAACCTGAGTGTTCCGCGCGCGCGCGTTTCAAAAACGACACCCACGCTTCGAGACCGTCCCGAGAGATGATCGCTCGTCCAAAAATCAGCCGAAACGAGCGGAAAACGACCGAGAGAGGAGCCTTTGAAGTTGGGAATTTCGCACCCTTTTGCTGCCCAGGCGCGCACCTCGACTCGAAGACGTCCATGACGCTCGTGAGCCTCGGCGCGCTCACGAACGTCGCCGGGGCGCTGGACAACCGGCCGGACCTCCAGGAGTACGCCGTCGACGAGCTCATCGCCGTCGCGGGCCGCCGGCCCGGCGCGGCGCTGACCGTCGGCGACTCGGAGACCGGCCTCGCGGACCTCAACTTCGAGAAGGACTGGGAGGCCTTCGCGGACGTGCTCCGGGGGTTTACCTACATGGTGCTCGCGCCCTTCGAGCTGTCGCGGCAGGTTCAGTTCGCGCGCGACGACGCGCTCGCGGTGGGGAAAACGAGGAACTGGCTCGCGGCGGTGACGGCGCCGTGGCTCGACTTCTGGCGGAGCGAATTCGGCGTCGACTACTTCCACCCCTTCGACCTCCTCGCGTCGGCGCGCCTCCTCCACCGGAACCTCCTCGAGTGCGACGAGAAGGCCCACGCGTGGATCGTCCGCGGCAAGTCGGAGGCGATCACGGAGAACATCGCGTCCGTCGTCGAGGGCGACGCGTCCGCCCACGGCGTCGGCGTCGCGTCGAAGATGTATCTGCACGTCGGCGACCTGAAGGGCGCGCCCGTCGCGGCGACGGCGAAGCGCAAGCGCCACCTCGTCTACTGCCACACGGCGAAGCCCGGCCTCAAGGCCGCGCTCCTCGGGGACCTCAAAACGGACAGCGGCCTCCGGCGGACCTGGATCACGGACAACCTCCGCCCCGGCGCGCCCCGGGAGCTCTAGCGGGCGATATGTGTAAGTTTTTCCGGGCGCGTCGCATGCCGGGGCCGCGGGAGTCTCGAGTCGACCGCGGCCCCGCCGCGGATCGGGGGGGGGGGGAAGGGGAACGACAAACATCAGGACGGCCCCGTCTGGGTGCCGGCGTCGCAGATCGCGGGCCGGTCGTCGGCCGCCCCGGGGCTCCGCCGTCGCCGCGCGCGGTCCGGGCCGTCGTCGTCGCCGAGGTCCATGGGCGCGACGCCCTCGGCGCGCGCGCGCCGCGCGTCCTGGCGCGTCGCCACGGCGCCCTGCGGCTTGGCGCCCGAACTCGACGGCGCGCTGTGCGACCGCATGGACGACTGGCCCGGCCCCGCGGCGACGGAGTGGCGCGGCTGCTGCGGCGGCCGCGGGTTCGGCGGGCTCTTCGGGTTCGCGCGGCGCGCGCCGGCCGCGGGCGGCGGCGGCGTCGCCTCCGCCGGCGCCTCGGCCGGCGCCGGCGGCGCGGCGGGCGCCGCGGCGCCCGGCGGCGCGTGCGTCGACGCCCAGACGGCGTCGTTGAGGAAGTCGTGGAGCAGCGCGTCCGCGGGCTCGATGCGCGCGGACGGCGAGTACTCGAGCATGCGCTGCACGAGGTCGAGGAAGAGGGCGTAGTTCTGCTCGCCGTGGCCCGGCTCGCCCTTGCGCCGGCCGCCGGGCCCGCCGCCGCCGCCGCCGACGATGGACTCCAAGCCCCGGCCCCGCGGCGCGGCCGCGGCCGCGTCGCCGGCCTTGTGCTTCGTGCGCAGGACCCAGCGGTGGGGCGGCGCCGCGGGCTCCTTGCCCCGCGCGCGCGTCGACACGCCCAGCGACGGCGACGTGCACGCGGGGTTCGGCGCGAAGTACTGGTCGCGGCACGCCTTGTCCGAGGCTTCGATCATCGACTCCGGCGGCATGCCCAGGACCTCGACGAGCTTCCGCATCTGGTCCAGCTGGTCCGCGCCGGAGAAGAGCGGCTCGCCCGTGTGCATCTCCACGAGGATGCAGCCCAGCGACCAGACGTCGATGGCCACCGTGTACGGCAGGCCCAGCATGACCTCGGGCGACCGGTAGAACCGGGACTGGATGTAGGAGTACATGCGCCGGTCGCTCTTGCACGAGCTCCCAAAGTCGATGACCTTGATGGCGCTCCGCTTCGGGTGGCGCAACAGGATGTTCTCCGGCTTGAGGTCGCAGTGGATGATCGCGACGTCCGGCCGCGCGAGGAACGCGAGCGCGTGCAGGATCTGCTTCGCGAACTTGCGCACGAGGTTCAGCGACACGCCGTGGAACTGCGTGTTCTTCAGCAGCTCGTACAAATTGTAGGACAGCATCTCGAAGACGAGGCACTGGTGGCCCCGGTACACAAAGTGGTCGATGAGGCGGACGACGTTCTGCTTGTCGTCGCGGTCCGCGGCGCGGAGCGCGCGGAGCAGCTCGATCTCCGTCTGGGCCTGGATCGCGAAGGGCTTCTTGGATTTGATGATCTTGATGGCGACGTCGCTCCGCGTCCGCGTGTCGTGCGCGCGGACGACCTGGCCGAACGACCCCTTGCCGATGCGCTCCTTGATGACGTAGTGCTCGCCGAAGGAGTCCTCCATGGACAGCACGTAGTCGTAGTTCTCGTCGTCCCACTCGTTGGACGCCTCCGCGGCCCGCTGCGTGACCTTGCGCTTCGCCTTCTTTTCGTAGTAGACCGTCGCGCGCGGCGTCGGAGCGGCGTCTTTTACGCTCGTGTCGCGCGCCCCGGCGGCGACGGCGTCGCGTCGCCGCCGCCGGGCGCGCCGCCGCCGTCCGGGCCCCCGCCCCCGCGACGCTTCGCCGACGCCGGCGCGCGCCTTGTTAATGAGCTTGTACGTGTCGATGAGCTGGACGCTCATCTTGTACAACGGCCGCTCCGTGTGCGGTCGCTGCGCCGCCATGGGAGAACCTGCGACGCGAGGCGCCGTCGCGGACGTCGGTAACGGCGCGCGCCCGCCGTCCCCGCCCGTCGCGCGCGGGGACGGGCCGCGGCGGCGGCGGCGCTGCGGCGGTGGCGCCGCGCCGCGGCGAGCGTCGCGCGCCCGCGGCGGCGGCACCGCCGCGTCGCCCCGCGCCGCTCCCGCCGCCGACCGCGTCAGTCCGCCGCGCGGCCGTTGGAGCGCGCGTGAACGGCCAACTTCCCCCCACACAATCGCGACGCCGCTTCGCGCGTGGGCGGTATCGTATGAGGTGTGTTCCGATCAAGAGAAGAGACTTCTATGCGGTGAATCCCGAGGACAACCCATCGGTTCTTCGATGAGGAGGTCCATCACGTCTTAACGTCTCGCGGATCTTCCGGCCGAGGCCAGACGCGGCGCCAGCACCGCGAGGACGTGTCCGAACGAGTCGCGGGCGGCGAATATCGCTAGGAGATCTTCGTTCCTAAATTGCTCACTCTCCCGTGCGGCTCGAGAGCTCCCGCCGTGGCCGGAACGCAGACCTCCAACCCACATTCGCGCAACGTTCGACGGCGACCAGGCCAATCTTGCCTCGGCTTCGACAGCCTCGGGCGCCTAGCTCGACGCCCTCCGCCCTCGTCGCGCCGCAGCCGCTCCCGAGCGCCCCCCAACCCACAAACCCGCCCTCGGGAGCGCCCTCCGGGGCCGCCCCTCTTCCGCCCGGCGCCATGATGAACGGCCAGGCCAAGGAGGCGGACCGCATGCGCATGGAGCGCCTCGCCAAGGCCACGGGCAAGTCCAAGTGGGACCTCCAGGACGATCTGGACACGCGGGACTACCGCCCGACGAAGCAGGCCAAGCTCTGGAGCGAGAACAGCGGCCAGCACTACCCCGGCTTCGCGGACCGGCCGTCCGTCGCGCCCAAGCCCGTCAGGGTCTCCGTCGCGTTGCCCAAGCGCGTCGACGGCGGCCGCAAGGTCATCTCGGACGACAAGTACCGCGCGGAGCTCGACGCCCAGCGGAAGCGGGCGCAGGCCCTGGCCTACCTCGAGCAGGACGACGACGGCGTCCCCGACGACTGCCTCCGCGGCGACGCGGCGCGGAGGCGCGCGCGCGACCGGAAGTCGGAGCTCGCCGCGCGGAGCGACAACACGTTGAAGCTCGTGGGCGACCAGGCGGCGGACGCCAAGTACCGCGAGCTCCAGTCGAAGCTGCTCAGCGTCCAGTCCCAGCTCCGCGCCGCGAACGGGTCCTTCGACGCGCTCCGCTCCGGGACGTTGCCGGCCGCGCCCGCGACCATGGCCGCGGCGCCCCAGGCGCCCCTCGTCCTCTCGGCGCCGCTGCCGCCGGGCTGGACGGCGCACACGCACGCGGCGAGCCGCCAGATCTACTACCTCAAGGCCGGCTCGGACGTGAAGCGGTGGGAGCCGCCGACGTCGGCGGACGCCGGCGGCGACGGCGCGACGAAGCGGCCCGCGCCCAAGCCCGCGGCGCCGCTGGCCTACCACCCGACCATGGCCGCGGCGGAGCGGAAGAAGCAGGAGCGGAACAAGCACATGGTCGACCCGCTGGACCCGGGGGGGCGCAAGACGGGCAAGTGGAGCGACGGCATGCACCACAAGGGCGAGCGCATGGCCGACTCGACGGCGTCGGGGCCCCTCTGGCAGCAGCGGCCCTACCCGGCGCCGGGCAAGGTGCTCGGCATGAAGGGGCCCGGCGTCCGCGAGGGCTCGTCCGCGGGGCCCGCGCCGCGGCCCAAGGCGCCCGCGCCGCCGGGCGGCGGCATCAGCTTCGTGCCCGCCCAGGCGCGGCGCCGCCCGCCGCCCCCGCCGCCGCCGCCGCCGCCGCCGCCGCGCGCGTCGTCGTCGCGGCCGCCGGGCCTCGGCGGCGGCGGCGGCCTGCCCCCGGGCCTCGGCGGCCGCGGCGGCGGCCTGCCCCCGGGCCTCGGCGGCCGGTAAACACCACTGTCACTCTTGCCGGCGGTGGACCCCGGCTGCACATTTCGCAGCGTGTACGAGGCGGATCGCAGCGCAAGCCTGCTCGGCACTATTTCCTACCGGGCTCGGATGTAATATATTCGTTCGCGCACCCCTCTCGTCATTTAAAAATTAATTGCATCATGGGTCGCAAACACGCGTGCAGCCGCCGGCGGCGGCGGCTAAACAAATCCTGGCGTGTGCCTCGCGATGATTCTGTCCCGCGCCGTGACGACCGTGACTAACTCCGGGCGAACGACGCGGACGCGACCGAGGCGGCGTACGAGGCGGCGTCGGCCGCCGGCGGCACCCCGGCGCCGCTCTCGATCTAGGAGCGTCGCGGTTACGGCGTTCCTAGGGCGCCTTGAAGTTCTTGCCCTGGTCGACGAGGTAGAAGAGCTTCGCGCGCTTGACGCGCTTCTTGCCCTTGGTGAGGAAGGCCTTCTGGAGCAGGGTCACGCCCTTGACCAGCGGGCTGTAGAGGGGCACGCGCCGCTGCACGGGCGTGCCGCGGACGTTGCAAAAGAGCGTGACGGCCGAGTCCGCGCCGCGGTTCGTGCGCCCGAGCACGAGGCCGCGCACCTTCTGGGGCTTGGTCGCGTCGACGTCGACGAGGATGTCCATCTCGATGGAGTCGCCGGCCTTGAAGTCGGGCAGGGGCGTCCGTCGTCGCTCGAGCTCCTCGCGCTTCAGGTCCGCGAGGAGGGCGCTCGCCTTCTTCCGCGGCGTCTTGAAGGCGTCGGCCGTCGATGTTGTCGCGAAGGCGCGGCGCGCGGCGACGGCGCGGAGCGTCCGGGGGGCCGCGGGGGCGCGGGCGGCGCCGCGGAGGGCCTGGCGGAGCAGTGCTGCCATCGGCCGCCGTCGAGGTCAGCGATGCCGTCAACGCGCTCGCTTGTGATCTGCTGTGGCAGAAAATAGATTTCTGCAGGCGCGATGGGCTCCATCGGCACGCTCGCCCTCGCGGCGAAGGTCTGCGACGACGTGTCCCTGCTCGTGAACATATGGGGCGTGTACCGGCGCATGGCGCCGCGGCCGAGCGCGCGGCGCCTGTTACAGGCCGTGCTCGTCGTCTTCAAGAGCGAGGAGGAGTCGGCCGAGGACCGGCGCGAGCGCGTCGCCCGCGACGCGCGCCGCCGGCGGCGCCGCGCGGCGTCGGCGAGCCGGAGCCGGAGCCGCTCCGTCGAGCGCGGCCGGGCGCACGACGACGACGAGGCCGTCTTCGACGCCGCGCCGCCGTCGCCGACGAAGCCGCCGCGCGAGCGGACGACCGGCGGCGCGTCGCTGGCGAACTGGGCGAGCCGCTGCTGCGACGAGGTCGCCCTCTTCCCCGCCTGGCGCGGCGCCTGCCGGCGCGCGCTGGCCCTCGGCGACGCCGCGGACCCGCGGCGGGCGGCGCGGGAAACGGCCGCGACATACCGACTTCAAAGGCTCCTCTCTCGGCCCTTTTCCACTCGTTTCGGCTAATTTTTGGACGAGCGATTATGTCTCGGAGCGGCCTCGACGCGTGGATGCTCTTTCCGGAGCGCGCGCGCACGGAACGCTCACGTCGAAGCGACGTCGAATCGCCCCGTTCCCAGGTGGCGGGGCCTCGCGCCTTTCCTCGCCGCGCGCGCGCTCTCCGCCGGCGCGGCCGACGGGGCGTTGCTCGGCCTCCGGGGCCCCGCGCCCCTCGTCGTCGTCGCGCTGCGGGCGGCGGCGGCGCACCCGCTGGAGCGGTGCGCCGTGTCGCTCGCGACGGGCGCGGCGGCGCCGGCGAGCGCCGCGGGCCTCGCGGACGGCTGGCGCGTCGCCGCGGTCCTCGCCGCCGCCGAGCGGCGGCTCCTGGGCCCCGCGGCGCTCGGCGTCGCGGCGGCGCTGCGGCTCCGGGACCTCCGCGGCGACGCGGCGGACCCCCGGGAGCGCGCGCGCTGCGCGGCCGCGTACCTCGCCTGCTCCGCCGCGGCGCTCCCCGCGGCCTGCGCCTGCGTCGCCTGCGGCCGCCTCGCGACCTACGCGCTCTTCGGCCCGCCGCCGGCGCGCCGCAAACGCGAGCGCGCCTTCGCGCGGCGGCTCCAGCGCGCGCTCGACCGCACGGCGCCGCTCCCGCCCGACGCGCCGCCGGCGGAGGGGCGGCCCCTCGGCCGCGCGCGGCCGTCGCTCTAGGACGTCGTCGTAGCGAGCGGCCTTCGTCGGGGCCCGCGTGATCCGCGGCGCCGATTTCTTTGGCGCTATTGACAACTTCAAGGTGAAGTGGTTGAAGGAGTGCCCGGGTATTCCTCGCACAATTGACGAGGCAATGCTCCCGGCCTTTGGGGCTGCCATCTGGCATTGCTGCTCGCGTGCCTCGCCGCTCCCGCGACGACGTCGGCGCCGAGCGCGTTGCCGACGCCGCTCCCGTCGCCGCTCCCGACGGCGCTCCCGACACCCCACCTCCGCGGAAACGCGACCTCCGCGGCGACCGCCGCGCCGCGCTGCTCCTGGGACGTCGTCAAGAAGACGCTATGCTACGAGGAGCACAGGATCGGCGACGATCTCGGGGGCGTAGCCGTCGGCGGCGACGAGGCAAGCGTGTACGTGGAGGCCGACGCCCGGGCGCAGTGCGAGGCGAACGACCGCTGCGACGGCTACATGCGCTGGGAATCCGACGGGACAATGCTTTACCGCTTGTGCAACGTCAAGGGCGAGAAGGACGGCTGCGGGCGGGTCCGAATCGAATACAACGACGAAGGGCACAGGCACGTCGTGACGTGCCGGCCCTACGACGCGACGCCGGCGTGGCGCGATCCGGTCGCGTTCTGGCTCTGCGTGTGCATCGCCGTCGTCGGCTACTGCAAGCTCTTCTGCATATTCTGCCACAAGGCAAAACGGGCAGAATTTGAAGACGGCAAGTGCTCGCCGAACCACAAGCACTGGATAGCGATGATCCTCTGGCTCGACGTCGCAACCGTGGGCCTCCTCTGTTTCGGGGTGTCGCGCGGGCCTACGGGCGCGGGCGACAGGGACGGCTGCAGCCGCGGCGCGGGCGAGGCGGGCGTCGCGCTCCTCGCCATCGCCGGCGCCTTGCTGCTCACGTGCGTGGCGCCGCTCCACGTGCTCCGCCGGTCGCGAGACGAAGCGCGGCGGAGGGAGCGCGAGGAGGCGCGCGCGCGCGAGGAGGAGCGGCGGCGGCCCAAGTACGAGCGGCTCAGCGTCGCGCGGGAGCCCGGCACGGACCCGGCGCTCGTCGAGGCGCTGACGAAGCCCGAGGACGTCGAGCGCGAGCTCGAGCGGTTCCGCGTCTGGCAGCGGGCCGACGACGGCGCGTGCCCGCGCTGCGGCGGCCTGGGCGCCTACGGCGTCTGCGACGGCGCGAAGGGCGACCGCGAGGGCCACCTGCCCTGCGGCTGCGAGATCTGCCACCTCTGCCACGGCTCGGGCACGACGGACGCGGTGCTCGACGAGCTCGAGCCCGACGAGCGCGACGACGAGATGCCGTGCCAGGTCTGCTTCTGCGAGCGCCCGCGTCCCGCGTCCCGCGCGACTTTTGAAACGCGCCGCCCCGGTAGGCGAGAGCCGCTTCAAGCTCGCGGCGGACTGCGACCACTTCTACTGCGCCGACTGCATCCGCGGGTCGCTAGGCGCGATGATGGACACGGGCCAGTTCCCGGCCTACTGCCCCGCGTGCCGCGCGGACGCGCGCGGCGACGCGGAGCGCCTGCGCGCGGGCCCGGGCAGGATCACGGACGCGACGCTCACGTTCCTCCAGCGGCGCCGCGTCTTCGACAAGGACTTCCAGTTCCGCTTCATGCTCCAGGCCTAGAAGACAGGGCAGCAAAAGAGAGCGAAATTCCAAACTTCAAAGCCTCATATCTCGGCCGTTTTCCGCTCGTTTCGGCTGATTTATTGGACGAGCGATCATCTTTCGGAACGGTCTCGAAGCATAAATGCTTTTTCCAGAACGCGCGCGCGCGGAACACTCACGTTGAAGCGACGTTGAATCACTCTTTTGCTGCCCAGGCCTTCAAGGACCGCGGCGAGGCCTTCTTCCGCTGCCCCGCGGACGACTGCGGCAACTGGCTCCTCGCGGCGAAGCCCGGCGAGATCATCGAGATCCGCGGCGACAAAATCGTCCGCGAGAAGAAGATCGGCCTCGCGCCCTGCGGCGCGGCGGTCTGCCTCGTCTGCAAGACGGAGCTGCCGCGCTACGCGGAGCCCATGTCGCCGGGGACGGTCGATCCCCGGGTCGGGCAGAGCGTCCGCGCGTTCAGCGACGGCGCGCGGCCCTGGCGCCGCGCGGTCGTGACGGCGCGCGAGACGTCGGGCGTCCGCGTCAAGTACCTCCAGGGCGGCGACGAGGACGCGACGCCGCGGACGCCGGGCGGCGAGCACGAGAACCGCCACGCGTCCTTCGTGGGCTGGGACGCGCTGCGCGTGCCCGTGGAGCTCGCGAGGCTCGCGGCCATGCACGACTGCCCCGAGGACAAGCTCACGCAGACGGAGATGGACGAGGCGACGAAGCAGGCCATGGCGCAGATCGGCAAGCAGTGCCCGTCTGCGACCAGTGGATCCAGAAGAACGACGGCTGCGACTGGATGACCTGCGGCACCGTGGCCCACGGCTGCCTCGGCGACTGCATCCGCAACGGCGGCTGCGGCATCGCGTTCAAGTGGGGCTCCCTCGAGGTCGCGGACGACCCCTGCGGCTAGAAAGCAGCGTCCTGCATCCGTGACGATTTTCGAGAGATTTTGACCGGGAAAACGATGAAAAATCGTTACCGACGCATGTGGTAGGCTACAAGGACCTCGACAAGACGCCCCGCCGCGGGCGGCCCGTGACGGCGCGGCAGCTGCCCGCCGGCACGCACCCCAAGTGCCCGTCCTGCGACCGCTACAAGTGCGTCGACGACGTCGACTGGCTGCCGCACCACGGCGGCAAGCGGGGCACGCAGGGCCGCGCGAACGGCGGCGACCACTGCTGCGCGGAGTGCCGCGACGGCGCGGGCACGCACGGCAAGTACTGCCACGCGATCTACAAGAACGAGGAGCGGCTCCGCGCGGGCGCGGCGCCGGAGGGCGCCGGTGAGGCCAAGGACGTCGAGATCGCGGGCGTGGAGATGACGGAGCGCCCGGCGCTGGCGGGCGTCGTGCTCCGCGTGGACGCGCCGCCGCCGGCGGACGACGAGCTCGTGCTGCCGCCGGGCATCAAGGCGTGCCCGGCCTGCGGCATGCTCCTCGAGAAGATCTCGGGCGACAACCAGATGATGTGCGGCTGCGAGGCCAAGCCCGCGGGCGGCACCTACAGGAAGGCGCTCGCCGGCGGCGGCTGCGGCCACATGTTCGACTTCGCGACGCTCCGGCCCCTCGGCTGCGGCGCGCCGGGCGAGCCCGCGAACGAGCGGCAGGTCCGCTTCGCGCGGGGCTAATTTTGACGGCATGTTTACCGGATCTTGACCCGCACCGCGAGCTCGAGCGGCCTCGCTCGGGGCGCGCCGAGCCTCGTCGTCGCGGGCATCCAACAGGGCGCCGCGGTCCAGTTCGTCGACACGGGCGACGTCGAGGTCGTGCTGAAGATCCAGCACGCGCGCGTCGCCGGGACGCACTTCGCGGGTCTCCACGCGTACATCCCGCACCACATCTCTGTGCGGCGCACCGTGTGCCCCGCGCGCCGGCGCAGAAGATGCGGCACCTCCCCGCGCCGCTGCGCGGTCTCGTGCTGGACCACCTCGAGTTTGCGGACGTGCTGAGCGCGACGACGACGGACAGCACGGGCCGTGCGGCGCTCGGCTACGTCCGCCGAATTTCGAATGCGAATGATCGTGTTGTGTCGGCGCCGCACGTGATGAGCAAGCTGCGCTTGTGCGAGTCGTTGGGCATTACCTCGACGTCTGCGCTCGTGCTGGGGCACGTTGCTTGGGCTCTCCACGCCCTGCGGCATCTCCGCGATGTTTTGATCACTTTCAAAACGGGAGTCGACTTCACCTCGTGGGATAGAGGCTGCGAGACGATAGCACGTTCACCAGAGCTCGGCCGTCTCCGCGTGTTTGATATCATAGGTCTCAGTGAGGCAGAGTTCATTACCGACGAGTTTCAGTCGATTCTTGCTAGACTGCCACCGAACTGTGCCTTGGCTACCGTGCTACCTTATCCCAGAACCACCGCGTCTATGGTCTCTAAGCTGCTCGCTCGCGGTGCGGACCTGCATGCGGATCTCGTGTATGCCACTCCTCCTCTACGCATGAATCCGCTGGTACAGGCGGTTGCAACAACGCGGCTTGAGGTCATACGTCTGCTTCTCGACGCTGGCGCACGAGGGCCCGAGAGCAAGTCTAAAAAGGACCCCTTTTTCAAGGCTGCGACACGGACACGATCCCCCCCGGGGTTAGACGCGATCGATGTCATGCGGCTTCTGTATGATGCGGGCCTTCAGTCAAGTTACCGTACCGAATCAGCTTACAATCTGTTACACTTCTTGACTTTTCCCTTTTTGAATCACCACTCCAAATCTTCCATTCTCGCCATAGCCAGGCTCATCTGCGAGCGTCAGCCAGAATTATTGACAGAAATTTCGACCAATGGCTACTCGCCGATCGCACTCCTGGCCGCCAGGCAATGCGCGTCTGCGTGGCGAGATTCACCATCTGAGCGCGCTGCTCTCACGCGGGATCTCACAATACTTCTCAGCGCGAAAGAAGCCCAGTTCCGCAGGGAGTCCCGCCTGTAGCCCCCATGTGTAAGAACCGCGAAAGCTTACACCCCCCTCGGGATGGTCATCTCGCCCTCGTCGAAGTAGGCGTGGTCGCTCGCCGTGAGGTCGTCCTTGACGAGCGCGAGCCCCGCGCGCATCGTGAGCCAGCCGAACAGCGCGCCCGCGGCCGCGGATCGCGCGTGCTTCCGCGCGGCGCCCGGCAGGAGCTCGCCGAGGGACACCGTGAGCATGACGCCGGCGACGAGGAGGAGCGACGCCTCGAGGAGCTCCGGCGACAGGAACGGGTTGAGCACGGCCGCCGAGAGCACGGCCGACACCGGCTCGACCAAGCCCGTCGCCGTCGCGACCGCGAACGCCCGCGGCCGCGACCGCGTCGCGAGGAGCACGGACGTCGCGACGGCGACGCCCTCGGGCACGTTGTGCATGCCGATGGCCAGCGCCATCGTCGCCGCGCGCGTCGCGTCCTCGTGCGCCGCCGCGACGCCGACCGCTAAACCCTCGGGCGCGTTGTGGAACGCGAGCGCGAGCGTCACGAGCGCGGCCGCGCGCGCCGTCTTGTGCGCGCTCGCCGGCGGCGGCGTGCGCTCGCCCGCCTCGAGGTCGCTCCGCGCCTCCACGAAGCCCGCGACGTCCATATTCCGGACGGCCGCGTCCAACCTGGGCAGCAAAAGGGTGATTCAATGTCGCTTCAACGCGAGTGTTCCGCGCGCGCGCGTTCCAGAAAAAGCACCCACGCTTCGAGACCGTTCCAAGAGATGATCGCTCGTCCAAAAATCAGCCGAAACGAGTGGAAAACGGCCGAGAAAGGAGCCTTTGAAGTTGGGAATTTCGCTCTCTTTTGCTGCCCTGCGTCCAACACGCGGACGACGCCGATCCCCGCGACGAAGCTACCGACCGCGACGCGCGCGCCGCCGCAGTTCCGCCCGCCGGCGTAGAAGGCCGGGAGCATGATATCCAAGCAGGCCAGCGCCAGCATGACGCCGCCCGCGAAGCCCAGCAGCGCCGCCTCGGCCCTCACGCCGATCTTCCGAAACAGAAACACGTACGACGCGCCGAGCGACGTCGCGCCGCCGGCGACGAAGGACCAGGCGAGGGCCGCCAGCAATCTCTTCGCCGACGCGGGCTCGTGGGACGCCCAGTCGAGCATCATGCGGAAGCCCTCGAAGGTCGCGAGGCTGAGCACCGTCGCCTGCGCCACGGAGTCCGCGTCCGCGTCCTCCAAGGCCTCGGGGAGCATCTCGCCGAAGACGACGACGATCATGGCGCCGGCGCCGAAGCCCATGGCCAGGGGCTGGATCGCCGAGAAGGTCTCGCAGAAGAGGAACGCGGGCACGGCCGCGACGAGCTGCGGCGCCGACGTGAGCACGGCCCACGCGGACGCGGACGCGGGCGACGCGCCCTTGGTGATGAGCGCGAGCGCCACGCCGAAGCCCTCGGGCACGTTGTGCGCGCCGATGGCCACGGCCACGAGGCCGCCCCGCCGGAAGCCGCTCGGCTCGCCGGTGGACCGCGCGAACGCCACCCCCACGCCCGCCCCTTCGCCGATGCTGTGGATCGCCATGATCGCGAGGAAGAGCAGCGTCCCCTTGGGCGTCGTCTGGCCGCTCCAGCCCAGCAGCGTCACGTCCTCGCGGCCCTCGATGAAGAGCCGCGAGCACCGCATGAACGCCGCGCCCAGGAACAATCCCGACACGACGGCCTTGGGCCCCGCGACCTGGCCCTCGTAGATCATGGTGTAGGACGCGCTGAGCATGACGCCCGCGGCGAGCGCGTTCGCGAGGCCCGCGCTCCGCTTCGACAGGCCCCCGGGCAGCAGGAAGAAGGGCAGGCCGCCCAGACCGCTCATGGCGACCATGACGAAGCTGTAGACGATGACGTCGAGGGTCGTCACGGGCGCGTCGCCGGCGACCTGGTGCGGGAACCCCTGGAAGTCCATGACGGTGCGCCGCGCAAAGGTGCGTATCGCCGCGACGGCGTCAGCGCACGCCGAGCGAGGCGGCGCGGCCGTCGCACATGCTGCTCTCCATGGCGGCAGCCTCAATGAAGGACCTTGCCTCAAAGTTGAACTTCCCCCAAAACAGCCGTCCCCAAAAGAGAAACGCGACAGAGAACGGTGCTAAAAGGGCGGCTATGCCGCCTCGTCGGCGGTGCGGGCGGTGATCGCGAGCCCCTCGACGCCGACGTCCGCGACGATCGTCGCGACGAGCGCCTCGCGCTTCTCCGGCGCGAGGCCCGCGAAGCAGTCCGCGACGACGTCGAGCGCGAAGCTCGTCTCGCGCCCGCCGCTCTCGTCGACGACGGCGACGCTCGTCGGCTGGAGCATGGCGAGCTTCTCGCGGAGCGCGGCGGCGACGGGCCCCGCGGCGCCGTCGGCGGCCGCGGGCCCGGCCGCGGCCGGCGCCGCCGGCGCGTCGCCGCCGCCCAGCGCCCGGGCCTTGGCCTTGATGACGTTGAGCATGTTGACGAAGCCGTTGTTGCGGCCCGGCGTCAGGGACGCGGCGATGCCCGCGTCCCGGATGAACGCCGGGTCGACGGCGCAGATCTCCTCGACCGTCGCGCCGCTCAGGCCCTTGACGAGCAGCACCACGAGGCCCTTGGTGAGCTGGGCGTCGCTGTCGCCCGCGAGGACGACGCGGCCGTCGCCGTCGAGCGCCGCGGTGACGTGCACCGTCGACAGGCAGCCGGGCACTTTGTTCGCGTCGACCTTGTCGCCCGCGGCGAGGTCCGGCGCCTCGGCCGCCCAGAAGAGGAGCTGCTTGTAGCGGTACTTGTCGTCGGGCAGGCCCGCCATGGCCGCGACGAGCTTCGACAGCGTCTCCGGCAGCGCGCCCACGCTCGAGCCGTCGAGCGTCGCGGCGCGCGGCCGGAGCGTGCGCGGGGCGGCGCGCCGCTGCGGCGCCGCGCGCAGGAGCGCGGACGCGCCGCAGAGGAGCGCGCACGACGCGAGGAAAAGGCGCATGGCTGGCGCAGGCCGGCTCGAACTGTAGGCAACCATGTCGCTCTCCGTCGACTCAGCGCTCTCTCCGAGTCCGAGCCGTGGCCGCCAGCACCGCGGGCCGTCAAGTCAGACTCAGAGCGCCGCCCGCACGATGGTCGCGCTCCTCGCCTTCGCGCTGCTCCTCGCGCCCGCGGCGCCGTTCTCCGTGCTGCGGCCCGTGCCCGCCGCGCCCGCGGTCGGCAAGCGCTTCCCGGCGGCGCCGACGCACCAGCCGCGCTCCGCCGTGGCGCTCCGCGCCGAGGAGGGCGGCGGCACGCCCGGCGCGTTCGCCCAGGGCGGCTTCAACGCCGCCGGCGAGCCGCCCATCAAGATCCAGGGCTTCTCCCTCGCCAAGGCCTTCCTCGCGGCCGGCGTCGCGATCACCGGAGCGTCGCTCTTCCAGTTCTTCACGTCGTCCGGCGGCGGCTCCGAGAGCTCCATCGGCTTCATCTACGGGATTCCGATCCTGCTCATCGGCTGCTCCCTCCAGTACGCCGAGCTCGAGCCCGTGGACGTCAAGTACGTCGGCTCCGAGGACCGCCTGGAAGCGTTGTTCGAGGCCAAGGCCAACGAGGCGCTCAAGAAGATCCGCGAGGACGTCACGCGCCACCGCTACGGCGACGAGGCCCACCTCGACACGACGACCAAGGCCCTGGGCCTCGTGCCCCCGGGCCTCGGCTACCCGCAGCTCCAGTACATCGAGCTCGAGGACGTCGACGGCGAGCTCGCGTACACGCTCGTCTTCCAGTCCAAGGAGACGCCCTTCACGGACTGGGCCGAGGAGAAGCGCGTCGCCAAGTACGCGACCTACTTCGGCCCCGGCGTCACCTCCGAGGTCCTCAAGGTCGACCCGGAGAAGCGCCTCGTCGGCATCAAGCTCGTCACGACGTCGGAGTAGAGAGTTGTAACTGACGTGGGAGTCTCCTTGGACTCCGGTTCTGTGTATTACCCCCAGGGCCGCGGGTCCGGCGAACAGAGGCGCGGCGGCGCCGCGGCGCACGCGGCGGGCGGCGGCGCGGGGCGCGCGCGCTTCCGCAGCCGCGCCTCGCGGAGGTGGAGGGGCCGCAGGAGCGGCGCGGCGCGCGCGATCGTGATGGGCGCGCTCGGCGCCTCGACGGCCGCCGCGGGCCACTTGGACCGCGGGCTCGGCGGCCGCGGCGGCCGCCAGAGGTTGAGCCCGGGCCGCTGGTCCGCGTTCGCGGAAGCGAGCCGCGTGGCCTCGGCCCACTTGTTCCGCCGGCGCCGCGCGACGGCCTCGCGCTCCCGGACGTCGCCCTTGCGCGCGGCCTCGACGAAGGCGCGGAGCTGGCGCACCTCGTCGACGAGGCGGCCGTTCGCCGCGCGCATCGCGCCCATCTCCGTCGTCAGGCGCGTGTTCTCCACGAGGTTCTCGTAGTGCCAGCGCCGCTCGAGCTCCTTCTCCGCGTCGAAGGCGCGCTTCGCCGCGGCGGCCTTGCGGCACGCGCGGCCGCGGAGCGCGTGCGCCTGGGCAGGAAAAGGGTGCGAAATTCCCAACTTCAAAGGCTCCTATCTCGGTCGTTTTCCGCTCGTTTCGGCTGATTTTTGGACGAGCGATCATCTCTCGGAGCGCTCTCGAAGCGTGGGTGCTGTTTCCGAAACGCGCGCGCGCGGAACACTCACGTTGAAGCGACGTTGAATCACCCTTTTGCTGCCCTGGCGTGCGCGTCGAGGAGCGCCGCGCGCAGGCCCATCGCCTCGGCGCTCATCGCCGTCGGGTCCGTCGCCCGCAGGCGCTCCTCCCGCCGCTTGGCGGCGATGCGCTCCACGGCGCTCAGGCTCGACGAGCGCGCGAGGAAGCCCTGCATGGCTCTTGCCTGCCACCGGAGCGGGCCGCTTTTGGGGGCTGCCGGTCGTGCGCGGGTGGGTTTGTTGTTTGGTTTTGTTGTGCTTTTATCGGGCGCCGCCTCTGCGTGCTTCCGAGAGGCCGGACCTGGACCTTCGGAGGACGACGCCGCCGTTCTCGAGGGCCGCGCACACCGGGATGGCAGCGGCCTCGGAGAGCGCCTGCACTCGAGCTTCAGCAATTCCACCGATCCAAGTGTTGCACACCCCACCGACCAGCTCGCCTTGCGCTCCGCCAGCGGAGCGAAGCGAAGCGGGAGAGCGCCCCCCCCCCCGCGCCTCACACAACTCACCCCAAGGAACCGTCGACGATGTCCGAGTCCCTGCGGGCCCGCGACGACGAGGCCGCGCTCGTCTTCGACGACAAGGTGCGCGAGCCGGAGGCCGCCCAGAAGCTGCGCGTCGACCGGCAGGAGGTCGCGAAGATCCCGCGCATCAAGAAGAAGAAGAAGCTCAGCGCGAAGATGTTCGGCGACGACGCGGCGCCCTACGTCGCGCCGCCCGCGCCGCCGCCGGCGCCCGCGGCGCCCGCGGCGCCCGCGGCCTCGGACGACGGCGACGGCGACGGCGCCGCGCCCCGGGAGGACGAGGCCGTCGAGTACGACGAGCTCGAGGTCGCGCGCATGAACTCGCGGCTCAAGGGCGTCGAGTTCGAGGACGACGGCGACATGTGGAAGGTGCTCAAGGTGAGCTTCGACGCGGAGCACGAGGAGATGGTCTGCTTCTACTACGACGCGGCGCTCGGCGACGACGGCACGGTCGACGACTGCGAGTACAGCGCCGTCGACGAGGTCGTCGAGTGGATCTCGGCCCACAAGCGCCGCGAGAAGCGCAAGCGCGACGCGCTCGCGGCGCCCGCGCCCGCGAAGAAGCTCAAGCGCCACGCGGCGGCGGCGCGCGGCGACGACGACGACTTCGACGCGGTCCTCGCCGACGACGACGACGACGACTACGCCGCGCCGGCGAAGCCGGCGGCGCCGCCGGCGCCGCGCGTGCCCAAGATCGCCAAGAAGGAGAAGAAGAAGAAGGCCGAGGGCCGGCCGGCGCCGCCGGCGGACCCGTCGCTCGCGGAGCGCAAGGCCCGGGCCAAGGCCGCCGTCGGCGCGCCCCAGCCCAAGGCGCGCAGCGCCTACGACCGGCCGGGGGACCTGCGGGCGACGGCGGCGGCGCCCGACGCCTTGTGCGGCCCGCGCATGCGCTTCAAGAACGTCGGCAAGCCCAAGGCGTCGGCGCTGGACCTGCTCACGGCCGAGGCGCCCCGGGAGCGCATCCCCAAGGCGCCCCGGGCGCCCAAGGCGCCGCCGCCGCCCGCCGACGGCGACTTCGCGGAGCCCGCGGGCTGGCGCGAGCCGCCGCGGCCCAAGCCCCAGGGCCCCACTTCTCGCCCGCTCGCCGTCGCGCCGGGCACGTCCGACGAGAAGGCGCGCCTCCTGGCCCAGCTCATGAGCCGCCAGCCGACGAAGAAGCCCGAGCCCCGGAGCGAGCCGCCGCCGCCGCCCGCGCGGCCCGCGCCGCCGGCGCCGTGGCAGAACCCGCTCGCGGGATCGGACCGGCCGCCGCCGCCGGGGCCCCACCGCGGCGGCGGCGGGGGCTCGTCCTACGGCGGCGGCGGCGGCTCGTCCTACGGCGGGGGCTCGTCCTACGGCGGCGGCGGCGGCTCTTACGGCGGCGGCGGCGGCTCCTACGGCGGCGGCGGCTCCTCGTACGGCGGCGGCGGCCCTTCCTACGGCGGCGGCGGCTCTTCCTACGGCGGCGGCGGCTCTTCCTACGGCGGCGGCCCCAGCGGCCCCGGCGGCGGCGGCTCCTACGGCGCGTCGCCGCGCGGCCGCGACGACCGCGACCGGCGCGACGACCGCGGCGGCTCGAGCTACGGCCGCAAGTACGACTACTCCTACTAGGCCGCCGTAACCGAAGCGCCACCGTAGTTCTAAGGGGACCGGGTGTTTACTTGTCGACGCGGACGTCGCTCGCCGACGCCGCGGGGACGAGCTCCGCGGGCGGGTGGAGCGACCGCAGCACGTAGTCGGGCCGCCGCCGCTTGTCGCGCGCGAGGCTCCCGACGACGCGCTTGCCCTCGTCCGTGTGGACGTCCTCGTAGAGCCAGGCGACGGGCAACCCCGCGTCGCGCGCGCCGCAGACGTCCTGCGCCAAGGAGTCGCCGACGACGCAGAGCTCGTCGGCGCCGTGGAGCTTGGCGATGGACAGCGCCTTGCGGAAGAAGCCGCGGTGGGGCTTGCCGAAGATCGTCGCGTCCTCGCCGCCCGCGCGCGTGTACTCGGCGACGAGGCCCTCGACGCCCGTCAGCCCCCGGCGGAGCCCCGCGGCGGCCCAGACGTCGTCGCCGGCCACGGCGAGGAAGGGCAGCTTCCGTTCGCCCGCGCGGCGCGCGGCCTCGACGTCGGCGACCGTCGGCGCGGACCCGTAGGCCACGAGGCACGTGGCGGCGTCGACGGTCGCGGACGGCACGACGGTGTCGCCCGGCGGGTGCGCGCGCGCCAGCTGCTCCGCCGACATGCCGAGCACGTGGGGCCGGTCGCCGAGGCGCCCGGCGAACTTGCCGCCGCCCGGGTTCCGGAGCGACGCGCGCGCGACGTGGCCGGAAGTGAAGACCGAGACCATGGGCACGTCGTCCGTGAGCCGGCCGTACTCGAGGTCCGTCGCCAGGCCGCAGGTCACGCCGAGCTCCTGGAGGAACGCGCGCTCCTCGGCGTTGTCGTGGGGCGCGTTGCTGCCGACGATGACGAGCTTGCCCGCCTCGGTCAAGGCCCGGATCGCCTCCGCCGCGCCCGGCCGCGCGCGCGCGTTGTCGTGGAGCGTGCCGAAGCCGTCGAAGAGGAAGGCGTCGTAGCGCAGGAACGGGTGGCCCTTGGCCGCCGGGGCGCGCGTGAACTTCGGCGGGCCTTCCAGCGCTTGTGCGGGCGCGAGCAGGGTGTGGATGACGGCGAGCGCCAGGACGCCGCGGACGCCGATGTTCGGGTCCAGAGCGGTGCGCGGCATGATGGTAGTGTGGCGCGTGCTTGGGCGGTGCTGCGGGTGCTCGAGGCGGTGGTATGGGCGCGCAGAAGACGGCGCGGATCGGACAAGAGCGGCGGCAATGGCGGTCGGCGTCACCAATGGAGCACGTGCAAAGGCCTCCGCATACACCAGCCACGGCATACACCAGCATAGCAGCCGCATACCACCCGCATACCACCCGCATAAAGCCCGCATAAAGCCCGCATAAAGCCCGCATAAAGCCCGCATAGCGGGCGCATACTACCAGGCATACCGGCGGTCAACCCCCTCGGGCGGCGCGTCGCTTGCAGGCTCGGCGGCGCGTGGCCCCGAAGGCGTCCCCGACCGGGCTGTCTTCGGGCGTGCGTGGCGCGCGCGCGTGGCGCGCATACTAGTACGGGTCCCGCCGGGCCCGCCACTACGCTCGCGCAACCGCCGTGACGTACACCCGTGGCTGCGGCGCAGCGCGGTCGTTAGAGCGGTCGAACCGGCGCGCGCGCTCGGGCGGACGGGCGGCCCTACTTCTTCTGCTGGTACTCCTCGGCGATGGCGCGGAGCTCCTTGACGCCCTGGGACATGTCGCCGTAGGCGAAGAGGCCCGAGCCGGCGATGAAGCAGTTCGCGCCCGCCTGCGCGCACGCGCCGATGGTCTCCGGCGAGGCCTTGATGCCGCCGTCGACCTCGATGTCGACGTCGAGCTCGCGGTCGACGATCCACTTGCGGATCTTGCGGATCTTGTCCGTCATCGTCGGGATGTAGGCTTGGCCGCCGAAGCCGGGGTTGACCGTCATGACGAGCACGTGGTCGACGAGGTCGAGGACGTTATCGATGGCCTCCGCGGGCGTGGACGGGTTGAGCGCGACGGAGGGGGAGCCGCCCATGGCGCGGATGTTGGAGAGCGCGCGGTGGAGGTGCGTGCAGGCCTCGGCGTGGACGATGACGACGCCGGGCTCGCCGTTGGGGCCCTTGGTGCACTCCGTGAACTGGGGCAGCATGGCGTCCGTGCAGCGCTCGGAGACCATGAGCTGCGTCTCGAACATGAGCTTGGTCGTCTTGCGCTGCGCGGCGATGACGTCCGGGCCGAACGTCAGGTTGGGGACGAAGTTGCCGTCCATGACGTCGAACTGGATGCGGTCGCAGCCGGCCTCCTCGAGCTTGGTGCAGTCGATGCCGAGGGCCGCGAAGTCGGCCGGGAGCACGGACGGGATGATCTGGGTCGGGCGCCTACGGTCGGGCGGCGGTTAAACGGGGACGCGTCGGACGGACGCCGGGCGACGCGCGGCGCGCCGTAGAGCGCGAGGCCGTCGACGGAGCCCGCGAGCATGCAGACGGCGAGGATGAGTTCGTGCATGTCAACCTGCGCGGGCGCGACGGTGTGGCAATGGCGCGCGTACGTTTTCATGGTCAGAAGCGCAAGCGCAGGCACCAGAGGCTCTCGGAGGCCATGCAGCTCGAGGCGAAGCGATTCCGCTTGCCCCTTGCGTCGGCTCGGTCCTCTGGTGCCTGGCGTGCATTGCCGAGGGTGGGACGCTGCTGTTATGCCATTTTGCTAGTGCTGAAGGCGGGCGGTGGTCACAACTTGACGAGGAATACGATCGACAGTGCTGGAGGCACGTGCTCGCTCCAGATGCTCGCTCCTGAGGCTCAGGAGTCGATGTTCCTGTCGATGTTGAGGCCCTTGCCGCGCGGGGGTCGCTAGGGGGTCGCTCGGCCGCGCGCGCGCCGAGGAGCACATCGTACCGCGTCCCGCGGCGTCTCGGCTCACCCGGCCACAACACGTCTACCTTTCATGAGGCGCGCGCCAGCGCCGCGCTCCTTCCTGCGCCGCCACCTCGGCCCGGACCTCGGCCTCGCGCCGCGCCGCCCGCCACGGTCCCGGTCGGCGACCGGGAGACCGCCGTCGCTCTTCCCCCCAGAGGGCAACGAAGAGCAGGGACCGCCCGGTCGCGCGCTTCTTAAATACAAAGCTCCCCCCGGGCCTAGGCGGACCAGAGCACGAGGCGGCCGTCGCACGCGGTCGTGGAGAACTTGTTCCCGCCCATGTGCTTGAGGCAGGTGATGGGCCCCTGGTGCTTGAGCCAGGCCGTCTCCTCCTTGGCTCCCGCGCCCGCGGCGGAGCCCGTCTTGTCCTTGTTCTGCCACATGGCCATCTTCGACGCGACGGAGCTCGAGCTCGCCGCGGCCTTCTTCTCGTCGCCCTTCTTGTCCACGAACGCATCGAAGGCCCAGGCGCCCGCGTTGGCGAAGACGGCCGGGTTCATGTCGTGGCCCGCGCCCACGAGCTTGTACTCGTCCAAGAACAAGAGCTGGCAGAGCGGGAGGAACGGGAAGCGGATCGTCTGCACGACGGGCGCGCCGCCCGTGTTGAACTGCGCAAAGTGGACGGACGCGTCGTGGCCCGCGAAGGCGAGCACGCAGCCCGACGGCGAGTAGGCGACGGCGTGGACCCAGCCCGCGCAGGGGAACTCCGCGTAGACCTCGCCGAAGCCGACGGGCGCCGCGAAGTCGCCGGCCGTCTGCTCCGCGTCGACGATGGCCACGTGGGCGCTGAAGACGCGCGCCTTGAAGTCCGAGGAGCCCGTGGCGACGATCTGCGAGTTCGGGTGCCACGCGACCGCTAAGACCGTCGACTTGTGCTTCTTGATCATCTTCGAGACCCACCAGTTGTTGTCCTGCTCGTAGTAGCAGACGGGCACGCACTTGGCGGACGACGCCACGGCGAACTTCTGGCCGTCGGGGCTCCACTTCACATCCAAGGCCGCGCGCTCGATGCGGAGGATGACGAGCGACGGCTTCCACGCGTTTTCCGCTTCGTCGTAGTTCCAGACGAACGCGTTGCGGTCGTGGGAGCAGGTGACGATGAAGTTCGACGTCGGGTGCCAGTCGATGGCGGCGATGACCATGTCGTGCTCGTTGAGGCTGAACTTGCTCGCGTTCGATTTGGCGTCGACGATCTTGAGCTCGTTCGAGTTCGGCGCGAAGGCGACCTGCGACCCGTCGGGGCTCCAGGCGTGGCACGACACGCCCACCGTGGCGTCCGTGAGCTGCGTGAACGTGGCCATGGCGCGCCCGGGGGAAGCGGGACGGGGGCGGCGCGGCGCCGGCGCGTCGAGGCCGAGCACCTCCTTGTGGCTCCAGAGGCCGCGACGGAGGAGCCGAGTTTTTTGTGCCGTGTGCGATGCTACATCTCAAAGCCAATGCTGCCCCGCGGCACTTGCGGCGCCCCTCGCCTTCGTCAAGCGCCACTGCTGATACCATAGCCCGCCGGCGGGTTATGTAAAACGCCGCTTCAACTTAGGCGCCAACCTCCTGGAAGAGCCGCGCGGCGACGGCCTCGAGGAAGCCCGGCGGCTCCGCCGCGGCGGCGGCGCGGACCGCGGCCGCGTCCGCGTCGCCCGCGCCGTCCGCCGCGCGGCGGAGCAGCGCCGCGGCGCCGCGCTCGCCCGCGGCGGCCGCGGCGAAGGCCTCGACGTCGCGCGCGCGTTTGAGGCCCGCGGCGCGCGGCTCCGTCGGTCGGTCGCTGAGGAACCAGAGCGCGAAGGACACCGTCGTCGCGTCGACCTGCTGGACGTCGTGCCAGTGGTAGGGCGGGATGAAGAGCGTCTCGCCGGGCTCGAGCGTGACCGCGGCGCCGCCGGCGTACGCCGCGGGCGCCGCGCGCGCGCGGCGGTCGAGCGGCGACGTCACCGCGTGGGGCCGCAGGTCGCGCCACGCGTCGGGCGGCGCCAACCAGAAGCGCTTCCGCCCGGCGACCATGGTGAAGAGGTTCGCGCGCATGTCGTAGTGGAGCCTGTGTGGAATTCAACCACTGGTTTGGGTGGTCCTGACCAAACTTCAGAATTCTCTAGCTCAGTCAAATCGAAGTCGATTCGGCTGATTTTTGGACGAATCGATTGCTCTCGTCGAGTTCTCGAAGCACAGCCGAAGAGATTGCGTCGAAACTGTCGCATACGCTCACATTGAAGTCGGGTTGAAGATTTGAATTCCACACTGAGTGGAGCGGCGACGCGCCGCCGCGACACCCCGCGAGGAGGTACAACGTCGCGGGCCGCGGGAGGTTCGACTTCGCGACGAGGTCGCCGAGCCAGGCCCAGTCCGCGAGGGTGCGGCAGTCGGCGACGAGCCCGTTGTCCGCGCGCCGGAAGGCGGCGCCCGCGAAGGGCGGTTGGACGTCACAAGCCGGCAGCCCCTCGTCGTCGAAGAGCTCCGCGCCGTCCGGGAGGTGGTGCACGGGCGTCTCGAGGACGACGGTCTGGAGGTAGAGGTCCGTCGCGCCGGCGTTTACGCGGCCGGCGAAGTCGCCGAGCGTCATCTCGAGCGGCTCCGTCGAGAAGCGGCGGTCGTAGGGCGACGCCGACGCCGTTTTCTCCGCCGCGTGGAAGACGAACTCGTGGTGATCGCGGCGCTCGCGGTCGCGGAGCACGACGTGGGTGCCGCCGTCGCAGCGGGCCCCGATCTTCGCGACGTCGTAGGCCTCGAGGCCCGCGCAGAGCGGCGAATCGACGACGACGATGGGCTCGAGCCGCGACGCGATCAACCCGGGCAGCGCCGGGTCGTCGAAGCGCACGCGGCGCACGGCGGCCGCGGCGCCGTAGCGCGGCGCCGGCGCGTCCGCGTCGGAGAAGGTCGCGCGCGGCCTCGGCGCCGCGGTTCTTGGGCGCGCGGTCGACTTCGGCGGCGGCGGCTCCGGCGGCTTCGGCGCTCGCGCCGGCTTGGGCGGCGGCTCCGGCGGCTCCGGCGGCGGCGCGACCGCGGTGAGGCACTTCGCGGAGACCCAGCCGACGATGGGCTCGCGCAGGTGCACGCGCTCGACGCCGCCGGGCAGCGTCGCGCCGCCGCTGCTTCGGCAGGCGACGCCCTCGGGCAGCATGGCGACCTTCGTCGTGTGCAGCCCGGCGCCGGCGCGCGCGAGGGCGCCCTTCTTCGCCGTGCGCCAATACCTGCGATCACTCGTCATGGCATGTGGTAGCCTTCGGGCTCTCCATCGATCACCATCCTCGCGCACTTCACCGTCCCTCAAGAAGCCGTAGATGCCGCAGCCCATCCGCCTCGCCGCACAGCCGCTGCCGGTCGCGTCTCGCGCGCTGTGGACGCGCGCGCGCGAAGCGCCGTCGCCGCCGCACGCGGTCCGCGCCGCCCGCCAGGACCGCCGCCGCCATGGCGTCGAACGAGATGGACATCAGCACGCTGTCCCTGGACCAGCTCAACCAGCTCAAGTCCCAGCACGAGCAGGAGCTGAACCAGCTGCGCGAGCGCCACAGCAGCCTCAAGCAGGCCGAGGGCCGCTTCCGCCAGTCGAAGGACGCCCTCGCCGCCATCTCCAAGGACGACGAGGGCAAGTCCATGCTCGTGCCGCTCACGCAGTCGCTCTACGTGCCGGGCAAATTGTGCGACGTCGACTCGCTGTTGGTCGAGCTCGGCACGGGCTACTACCTCGAGAAGAAGAAGGACGACGCCGACGCCATGATCGACCGCAAGATCAAGCTCGTCGCCGACAACGCCGAGAACATCACGACCGTCGTCGCCCAGAAGACGCGGAACCACGAGGCCATCGTCATGATGATGCAGCACAAGATGGCCCAGATCCAGGAGAAGAAGGCGGAGTTCGACCGCCAGCAGGACCGCGGCGCCTAGTTCGGGCGCGGCGCGGTGGTTTTACCCTAGATTCGCGCGTCGGCGTCGCCGCGGCGCGGAGGCGCGGCTCCGGGTGCGGATCCCGGTGCAAGTCCCAGCGCCGCCCCGGGCCGGAGGAAGTCCTAACATATCCCGCCGGCGGGATATGTTAAACGCCGCTTCCCAAAGGACGCTCGTTATCATAAAGCTCGCGCGCGCGCGCGGCCCTTGGACCTATTGTCGGATCGTGCCCGTGGACGCGGAGGACCGCAGGTTCGCGGCCTGGGAGCCCGGGCGCTTCGTCGACGCGCGGCTCTGCGCGCTGTCCGCGTCCCACTCGGGCCGCGGGAGGCTGAAGGACGCCGTGTGGTTCGCGCCGGCCTTCTTGCGCAGCGCGCTCTTCTCCGGCTCGCCGACGATGGCCAGGGCGCTCAGGGGCCGGCCGAACTGCTTCGGGTTCTGGCTTTTCTGCAGCGGCGACGCGCGGAGGCCGCCCTTGTCGCCGCCCGGCGGCGCCTCGGGCGGGTTCGCGTTCGCGGCGATGCGCTCGTGGAGCGGCACCTCGCCGAACTGGATGGCCTGCTGGCGCAACAGCTCGTGGTGCATCGTCGTGCCCCGGGGGAACGCGCCCGTCATGGGCGGGAGCGCGTAGCCCGGTAGGGCCAGCCGCGCCGCGTTGCCCAGAGCCCCAAAGGGCTTCGTCCGCCGCGGGCTCGGCGACCGGCGGTCGAGGTAGAGGCCCGGCGACTTGGCGCGCTCGCCGAAGGTGAAGGCCGTGTTCGGCGTCAGCGTCGTGTTCACGGTGCGGTTGTCGAAGTCGTGGTCGCTGAGCACGGCCGACGAGCACTCCGGCGAGTGCGCGCGCTCCGAGGGCGACACGGGCCGGTCGCAGGACAGGCAGCGGAAGCGCAGCAGCGCGTCGTCGCCGCCGCCGTTGCCCGCCTCGAGGTCCTCGATGCGCCGGAGCAGGCGCAGGAGCTCCTCGCGGTCCGCCTTGCCTTTCAGCGCTTTCTTGAGCTCCGCGAGCAATTTGGGGTCCGCGACCTGCTTGGCCAGGTTCTCGAGCTCCTCGCGGAGCTCCATGACGTTCTGCGAGAGGTCCTCGACGAGGCGCTGGCCCGCCTTGGTGCCGACGGCCGTGCGGAGCTGCGCGACGGCTTCCGCGAGCGCGGGATCCACCGTGGGCTCCGTCGGCGCGGCGACGACGACGGGCTCGCGGGGCACCTCGCGGACGATCTCCACGGTCTTCGTGATGACGACGGGCTCCGGCGGCGGCGCGGCGACGACGGGCGCCGCGGCCGCGGGCTCGCGGTTCTCGAGCGCCGTCAGCGAACTCAGCAATTTCGCCTGGTCGTCCCTGAGCTTCGCCAGCGCGCCCTCGAGGGCCTTGAGCGCGCGGCCGTGGGCGGCGTTGCGCTCGGCCATGACGGCGTCGCCGAGGTGGCTGTGGAGCAGGCGCAGCGCGTTCGCCGCGGTCGCCGCGGCGTCGGCGTCGTGGCCCTCGGGCAGCGCCAAATCGTCGAGCTCGGAGCCCTGGCTCGCGGAGACGACGGCCTCGATGGCGCCCGCGAGGGCCATGGCCTCGGGGCACCAGGTTTCCGCGTCGCCCTGCTCGACGGACGCCGCGAGCGCCTCGCACGCGGGCGCCAAACCCCGCAACCTGTCCTTGAGCGGGCCCCGGTGGTCGTCGAAGCCCTTGGGGTCCGCGAGCTGGGCCGCGCGCTCCGCGAAGTCCGCGAGCGTGTCCCGGAGGTGCGTTAACGTTTCGTCCTTGTGGTGCTTCTTCTTCTTCTTGGGCTTTGTGGCGTCGCCGCTCCCGAGGAGCCCGACGCGGTCGTCGGACCGCTGGTAGGTGCGGCGGATCAGCGACGTCAGCTTCTCGTCCACGAGCGCTTCCAGCTCGTCCATGGACGTGCCGTCCTGGTGCTCCGCCAGCGTCCGCTCCACGCGGTCCAGACGGGCCGTAACCGCGGCGTTTCTCGGAACGCGCATGGACACGACGGACGCGCGCGACGTGAAGGTCGGGCGGTCGCTGAGGAGCTGGCTCTTGCGGCGCCGCGCGACGGCCTTCTCCTTGATCTGCGGGAGCACGAACTTGTAGGCCTTCTGCCAGCGCTCGCGCGCGACGCGGCGCCGCGCGGGGCTCGCGTCGCGGCGGCCCTTGTAGCGGTCGAGCATCTTCGAGTTCTCACTGCCCGCGCCCCGCTTCGCGGGCGGCAGCCGCGCCTGGAACTCCTCCTCGAGCTTCACCGTGCGCTCCAGGGCCTCGATGATGGTCTCCTCCGTCTTCTGCTGCTGCTCGTGGACGTACTTGTTGCACTTCTCGAGGTCCTCTTCTAAATGATGAATGTCGTCGCGGATGCGGTCCTTCTCGTCCTTCTCCTCGACCTCGAAGTGGCGGTGCACGTCGCCGAGCTCGGCCTTTAACGCGTCGAGCTCCGCGTGCATGTCCTTCTGTTGCCGTAGGATCTCCTCCTCGCGCGCGCGCAGCTCCTCCTCCTTGGCCGACGCGGCGGCGGGGTCCTTCAAATCTTTGATGGCCTTCTTCGCCTGGTCCTTGAAGGACTGGATGGTCTGCATCTTCACCGCGATGCGGTTCTCCAGCGCGCGGATGTTGAGCTTCAAATCGTTCTCCTTGGACTCCTCGCGGCCCTTCAGCGCGGCGAGCTGCTGGAAGGCGCGGTGCGACTCGCGCTCGAGGCGCTCCATGGCCGCGTGCTTCGACGCGACGAGCTCCTTGAGCTTCTGCAGTTCCTCGTTTTCGTGCGCCTCGTACTCGAGGTCGGGCACGAAGACCAGATCCGCCTGCTTCTGGGCCTCGCTCGGCGGCGGCAGGGCGCGCTCGGGCTTCGCCGGCGGCGCCGCGGGCGACCCGCCCCGCGCGGTCGGCGACACGCCGCGACCCCGACCGCCCCGGCCGCCGCCGACGGACCCGCGGCCCCGCGCGGCCGCGCCGAGCGCGTCGCCGCCGCCGCGGCCGCCCGGGGGCCCCGCGCCGCGCAGGAGGTCCGCACCCGGGTGGAAGCCGGCGCCGAAGTTCGCGCCCTTGAGCTGGCCCAAACTTTCGACGTTCAGCGCCGCGTCGACGATGCGACTCCCGCGGCGGATCGACGACCGCGCGGCCGACGGGTCGGGCTTCGCGAGCGCGGGGTCGTAGATGGGGTCCTTCTCCGCGTCGAGCTGGCGGAGGCGCGGGTCGCTCTCGCCGTCCTCGCCCTCGCTCCGGTCCACGGCCACGATCTTCTTGCGCATGAGCTCTCGCTGCATCTCGATCTCGTGCTCGAACATCTCGAGCATGGACGCCATCTTCTTCGAGTAGGCGTCGACCTCGGCGCGCCGCGCCTGCTCGAAGACGTTGAGGTCCCGCCCGCCGCGGTCGTAGAAGGCGATGCCTTCTTCTGGTAAATCCGGGTGGTCGACCGTGAGGATCTCGGGCACGTTCGCGGGCGCGAGTTCGACGGTCAGAGGCGTGCCCGCGGGCGCGTCCGCGGGGAAGTGGATCTCCGTGACGTGGCCGCAGACCTCTACTTTCAGAGGTTTGCCCGGCTGGGGCACGGTGACGGACATGGACCGCGGCACCGCGATCTCCTTGCCGAGGTCCTCGGCCATCTGGGCGCGCTGCGCGTGGATGTCCTCCGCGGGCGTCTTCGGGCGGTTCAGCACGTCCCCCGGCGTCGTCGGCCGCCCGAGCTCCGGCGTGCCGCTGGGCCGCGACTTGGGCCGGTTCGCCGTGCCCGGGCGGCTGCCCGGCGCGGGCGACGCCGCGCGCTCGCTCGCCGCGGCCGCGTCGCTCGGCGTCGCGGGCCGCCCCACGGGCCGCGACGCCACGGACGGCGGCGACGCCGGTCGGAAGGGCACGGGCACCTCGACGAACTCGCCGGGCTGCGTGCCCTCGGGCACGGGCACGACGACGTCCTCGCCAAAGACGGTGACGATGAACTCCGTGATCGTCGCCTCGGGCGCCTGGTTCGGCGGCAGCGACACGGACACCTCGCGGGGCACGCGCACGTGCGACGGCACGTCGACGGTCATGACCTGGGACGGCGCCACGGCGTCGGGGACGTCGACGTCGATGACCTGGCCCAAGACATTGACGGGGATGGCCTGGCCCGGCCGCGCGTCCTTCGGGACGACGACGTCGACGGACCCGCGGCGCCCGCGCACGCCCAAGGCCATGGCCGGCGTGCCCGGCCGCGACGAGCCGGGGGATTGGGTCGTCCCCGCGGACTGCGCCGTCAGCGGCCGCGTCGTCGTCTGCTCGTTGAGCTCCACGAGCTGCCGCGTGTAGTGCGACGACGGCGCGTCCTGGAGCACGACGCCGGCGAGCTGCTGCCACAGGGTCTTGGGCCGCACGTCGCCCGGCGCGCGCTCGGGGGCGACGAAGGGCTTGGACCCGTCGACGATGTCCACGACGCCCGCGCCCATGGGCGTGCCCGGCCGCGACCGGACCACGGGCGACGCCGATCCCAGATCCTGGGCCTCGACGCCTCCGAGGAACGCTCGTTTCGCGTGCTTCGCCGCGTGGCTGATGCCGTCGTCGCGCGCCTGCTGCAGGAAGAGCGACGCGAGGATCGCCGCGCGGCCCTTCCGCGCGTCCGCGGTCACCTTTTCGAGCTTCCGCTGCATCTCGGCCTGGAGCTGCTCCTCGCGCGCGAGGCGCTCGTCCTCGTCGTCGACCTGGCTGTGGAGCGTCTTGAGCTCGTCCTGGAACTCCGCGCGGATGCGGTCGCCGAGCTGCTTCTCGCTCTCCATGTAGCCCCGGTGCAGGTCCATGACCTGCTTCAGCACGTCGCCCTCGCCGTTGGCCTGGGCGAGCTTCAGCCGGTCGCCCAAGACCTCCTCGACGGCGGCGCGGGGCTCCTTGTCCTCGTCGAGGGGCGCGTAGGTGAGCGTCTTGGCGACGTGCGACACGTCGGGCATCGACTCCTCCACCGCCTGGCCCGAGATGTTGTACGCGAGATTCTTGATGCTGTCCATGGCCGAATCGTAGAGCTCCATGGTCTTCTCGACCTTGGCGCGGATGTCGGCCTCGCCGTAGGAGATGCGGTCCAGCAGCATCTTCTTCACGCCTTCCACGTAGACGGCCCGCTTCTGCTCGCCGACCTCGATGGCCGACAGCCGCCGCCGGTCGTCGACGAACTTCGTGCCCACGTCCGTCACGAGATCGTCCATCTTCGAGTCCATGACGGCCATCTTCAGCCGGAAGGCCGTGTTCATCTTCTTGATCATGTCGCTGACCTCTTTGATCCATTTCGACGCGTCGACGTCGTTCGACGGCGCCGCGGGCATGACGACCTCCTGGACCTCCTCCTTGATGTCGCGCATGTCCTGGAGCTCGCGCTTCAACTTCTCCAACGCCTTGATCTGCTCCTCGCGCCATTTCTCCAGCGCGTCGAGCGCGCGTTTTAACGTTTCGTCCGTCTTCCGCTGGTCGTCCAATTCGGTCCCCGCCTCCTTGGCGAACTTCTCGAGGCCGCCGACCTTCTCGTCCGTGCGGTGCGCGTGCGCGTCGGAGGCCTCCTGCCGCGCGGTCTGCTGCTTGTCGGCCTCGCGGAGCTGCTCGATGTCCTTCAAAAGGTCCGCGAGTTGCTGCTTCAGGGTGGCCACCTCCGCGAGCGCGGCCTTCTCCGCGTCGCTCAGGCCCTCGACCTCGACGACGGGGGCCGGCTCGGGCTCGGGCTCCGGCTCGGGCTCGGGCTCGGGCTCGGGCTCGGGCTCGGGCTCGACGACGGGCTCGGGCTCGGGCTCCGGCTCGGGCTCCGGCGGCGGCGCCTCGACGACGGGCGCGGGCGCGGGCGCCTGCATCATGATGACCTGGGGCGCCGGCAGCTCCAGGTTCGCCATGGCCTTGGCCACCTCCTCGGCGACGCGCGCCTTGATCAGCGCCTCCATGTCGTCCATCGACGGCGCGTCGGGCCGCAGCGCCTGCGCGGCGACGTCCTTCTCCAGCCGCCCGCAGCGCTTCTCGAGGTCGCCGAGCTGGTCGACGATGAGGTTGAGCGCGCCGCCGACGAAGTTGTGGATGTGCGTCGAGTCGACGCGCACGAGCTCCTCGGCCTTCGCCGCCTCCATCTGCTGCTGCAGCAATTCCTTGAGGCCCTGCGACTTCGGCGACTCCGTCCCATCGCCGTCCGGCCGGTCGGCGACGAGCTCCTCGTCCTCCGTGACCTCGACCATGGCGGCCGACCACCCCCGGACGCGCCCCGGGCCGTCAGCCGCGCGGCGCAAACCAGAGAGCGCCGCCTCCTTCGACGCTGAGAGGCGCTGGAGTAAGATATTGAAACGATTTGAAACGATGATGCCGTGTGAAGTGGATATTTGCCACTGTGAGAGAGCATGGGCGGCGTCTTCGGCAAAAAAGCCGGCAAAAAAAAGAAGAAGCGGTCGGAGAAGCAGGGCGGCATCAGCGACCAGGACCGCGCCGTGCTCGACCTGAAGAACGCGCGGGACCGGCTCAAAAAGTTTCAGGCGAAGCTCGAGGCCGAGGCCGCCCAGCTCACGGCCACGGCCGCGAAGCTCCTCAAGGCCGGCAAGAGGGACCGGGCGCTCCTCGCGATCAAGACGCGCCGCTTCCGCGAGACGAAGGTCGACGACATCGACGGCCAGCTGCTGAAGTTGGAGGAGCTGGTGTCGACCATCGAGTGGGAGAGCCAGCAAGTCGACGTCGTGCAGGCGCTCCGCGCGGGCACGGACGCGCTCAACGCGCTCCACGCCGACGCCCTCCGCCCGGACAAGGTCGCGGACCTCATGGACGACACGGCCGACGCGCTGGCTACGGAGCGGGAGATCTCCGCGATGCTCGCGGGCGCGGGCCTCGACGGCGCCGAGGAGGCGGCGCTCCTCGCGGAGCTCGAGGGCCTGAGCGCCGCTAGCGTCGACGTCGCGCTCCCAGACCTGCCGGCGGCGCCGACGACGGCCATCAAGGACGCCGCCGCGGTCGCGGACGCCGAAGCCGCGGGTACAGTCGCGCGCGCGCCCCGCGTCGCCGTGCCCGCCTAAGGCGTCCCGTTATGCCGCGCGTAGGTCGCCTCGAGGTCGGCGACGTCGTCGCGGGACCCGAGGAAGACGGGCACGCGCTGGTGGACGTGGTCCGGCACGATGGCCATGATGGGCTCCGCGCCCGTCGTGGAGCGGCCGCCGGCCTGCTCGACGATGAACGACATCGGCGCGGCCTCGTAGAGCAGGCGCAGCTTGCCGTTTGCGTTCTTCGCGTCGGCCGGGTAGCCGTAGACGCCGCCGTAGAGCAGCGTCCGGTGCACGTCCGCGACCATGGACCCGATGTAGCGCGCCGAGTAGCCTTTTTCCCGCTTCAGCCCGTCGAGGTACTCGACGACGGCGCCGTCCCAGTGGGGCGCGTTGCCCTCGTTGAAGCTGTAGTAGGGCCCCGTCGCCGGCACCGTCAGGTTCGCGTGCGAGAGCACGAACTCGTTACTCTTCGGGTCCAGCGTGAAGCCGTTGACTCCGTCGCCGCACGTGAACACCAGGATCGTCGAGCTCGAGTACATGCAGTAGCCCGCGGCGACGAGGGACCGCCCGGGCTGGAGCGCGCTGAGGAGGCAGCGCGTCTCCCGGTCGTCGAGGGTCGTCGAGTTCGACGTGCTGTCGGGCGCGGAGAAGCCGCACGTCTCGTCGAGCTCGAAGATGCCGAAGATCGTGCCCGTGGCCACGGCCGCGTCGACGTTGCTCGACCCGTCGAGGGGGTCGAAGACGGCGACGTACTTCGACTCGAGCGTCTCTTCGACTAACACGGGCAGGTCCTCCTCCTCCGACGCGACCAAGCCCACCCGGCCGCCGTAGCCGAGCGCGTCTTTCAGGACGTCGTTCGTGATGACGTCGAGCTTCTTCTGCTCCTCGCCCTGGACATTAATATTGCCGTCGTCCCGGTAGCCCGTCATGTCCGCGAGGCCCGCGCGCTGGACGAGCGCGGAGATCGTCTTGCAGGCCATCTGGATGGACCCCATCAGCGCCTCCAGATCCTGGCGCTCGCCGTCGACGCGCGTCTGCTCGAGCATGAAGCGGCTCAGGGTCTGGCGCGGCGGCGCGAGGGCCCTTGCGACCGTGAGAGCAGCGGCGAACGCGAGCAGCCGCGTCATCGCTCGTCGCTGCGCGGCCATCGGCTTTGGTGAGCGCTGCACCTCGCTTTACCCTGGTGCAACGTAGCTCTAGTTCCCGGAGCGCTGATTCGCCCGCCGCGGCGTATCGCTCCGGAGCGGGGGCGCGTGCGGAGCTTCGTACCGAACGTCCAACGATACGGGCTTCGGCGACGACTTGGGATGCGCGCGTTCGCGCGCGAACGGCGACGGCGACGTGCTTCTGGGCGATGCTCGACGCCCGAAGCTCACGGCGAGATTGCCCACTCCGACTCTCAAGCCGACGCTCATCAAACTGAGCAAGCAAGGCTCTCGACCCTGGGCGGCCCCGGCTCCCGCGGCGTCGTCCCTCGGAGCGCGCGCTCCCGGGGCGCGAAGCGAAAGTTACGGCGAAGGGGTTCGAACGATGGAATGGCCTAGTCGCACTTGGGCGTCCGCCGCCGCCCGGCGGCCGCGCCGCCGCCGCCGTCGTCGTCGTCGTCGTCCTCGGGCTCCGCGAGGTCGGCGCCGTCTGGAAGCTTCTCGTGGACGTCGATTTTCACGACGCCGGAGAAGTACCAGATGAGCGCCGCGATGCCGACGCTCCAGACGACGTACTCCGTCCAGTCCGACGCGCTGCCCGTGAAGCCCTCGCCGATGCTGTAGGCTTTGAGCGGCGCCGAGAGGCCCACGGGCTCCTGCTGCGCGACCTCCTCGGCGGCGGCGGCGGCGGCGCCGGGGAGCGCCGCGGCGAGCGCTGCGATGAAGGGTGCGCGGCGCTGCACGATGGGAGCGTTCGTCGTGCTTGCGCGGCGCGCAGCGCTTGGGCGCTTGGGCGGGCTCCTCATGCTCTGCCTTGTGGAGGTTTCTTGCCGGGGGTCGATTGGCTCCCGGAAGAGCGCCTCCACGACGCGCTCGCGGGTCCTGTGAGCGCTGCAGTGTGACTTCGCTTGCCCCTTTTGGGAGAGCTGGAAGTAACTTTCCTTCGACCCCTAGTGTGCAAGCGGCGCGCCGCGCGCCCAGCGACCAGTGCGCCGACAAGCGGGAGTTGGCGGCGAATGCTGCCCGGATTCGATTACACAAGATGGGCGCCGCGCCATTCCCAGCTTCGCGCTGTCGTCGCGGCGCGGACGCGTGCAGTGCGGCAAACTTCAACAGCCAAAGTTGCCGCAAAAGCGTCCAAAGCGCACTCGCGTCAGCGCGAGATTGCGGCCCACCTCGAACCTTGGCAGGCGTCCTAGATTATGACGATCATGAAAGCCGCGCTCCTGACCGCGTCGGCGACGGCCTTCACGGCCGCGAGCATCAAGCAGCGCGCGTCGCGGACGCTGCTGCGCGCCGAGAGCGCGCTCGAGACCCTGCCGGAGGGCGAGAACCCGTCCGCCGCTTCGGCGTCCAATCCAGTCCAACGCATGCACCACTCCTACACCCATGCAGGTACACCATCGCCATCTTCGGCGACCTCCACGTGGACCCGCGCGACACGGAGCACCTCATGGAGGGGCGGGAGCACATGAAGGCCACGAACCCCGACTTCCTCGTGTCGCTCGGGGATTTGGGCGAGTCCAAGGACTGCACCGAAACCAAACAGCTCTACGCGGGCACGACGGAGTGCTTTAAGTTGGTGCGCGACTACTTCGACGGCTTCGGCGTGCCCTTCGACGTCGTCGGCGGCAACCACGACCTCGAGGGCATCGACGAGTTCAACACCGACCAGGAGAATTTGGAGGTCTTCATGAAGATCATGGGCAAGGAGACGCCCCAGTTCTGCCACGAGGTCGCGCCGAAGACGCTGCTCGTCGGGCTGGGGTCCACCGTGTTCCGCGACGCGACGTACACGTCCCACGAGGTCTTTGTGGACGCGGAACAGGTCGCGTGGTTCGAGAATCTCGTCGCGACGCACCCGGCCGAGGAGGACTGGAAGATCTTCTGCTTCTCCCACGCGCCGCCCATCGGCTCGGGGTTGCGCGTGCTCCAGGAGAACCACGTCGTCAACGGCTGCTGCTGGCTCAACCACAACGGCGGGCCCGGCGCGGCCCCGCAACGGTTCATCGAGACGATCCGCAAGAACTCCCAGGTCAAGGCCTGGTTCTCGGGCCACTTCCACCTGAGCCACGACTACGAGGATTCCATCACCTTCCCGGGGGGCAACAACCGCGGCTCCTGCGTCTTCGCGCAGACGGGCTGCCACAGCGGCCGCAGTTCGCGCGACGGCCGCCGCCACTCGCGCCTCGTCCGCGGCAACGAGCACGGCTTCGAGATCTGCACCGTGGACCACTCCAAGGGCGGGGTCGTTCGTTTAGACGCCACCGTGACCTACTCCGACGAGTGCGCCGTCGACGGCTCGGAATGCTCCACTTTGGTCTTCGCGCACGACCACGAGGACTACGACCACGATCTGTGGTTCCAGGCCTACACGCCCCAGGAGGACGACGGCTGCTACATCGCGAACCCCGACGGCACGATCAACCCCGCGGGCTCCAAGTTTGAAGATTTGTCGAACCCGGAGACCGTGTGCTGGTGGCACATGAAGGACGGCGCCGTGCTCGGCGCGCACAACGGCATGATCATCGAGTACGACCCGAGCACGCTCGCGCCGCTGGGCATGGTCGTGTCCCGCGACGAGCTCAAGGGCCGCCGCGTCGCCGTCATCGACAACGGCCACGGCGGCAGCGCCTGCGTCCTCTACGACGACGACAACAACTCGGAGGTCACCGTCGTGCAGCCGAACGAGGACGGCACGTACTGGCGCAAGGTCGTCCGCAACAAGATGCACCGCACGCGCGAGATGCGCAACGTCGCCGCGGCCAAGGAGTGGATCAAGGAGGTCCTCCCGGACCAGGACCACGACGTCATGTCGTCCTACGGGCCCTACACGTCCACGGCGGGCCAGGTCATGGGCATCTCCACGAAGGCGCTCCCCTTCAAGGAGGACCAGATCAAGGAGAAGATCGTCACCAAGTCCCGCTGAGCGCGGCGCGGCCCCGGCCCCACCTCCCCCCGCCCCCTTGTCTAGCCCCGATAAGAAAGCAACCCGTATGAACGACGTACCGCGTCGGACGGCCGTCCGGAACTTCTAGTTGGAGCCTACTTGGGAGCGCGCGCGGAGTGGGCGCGGTTCCCGCCCCGCGCCGCCGCGAAGCTCGAGCCGCGCGTCTGTGCTTAGCGGCGCGCGGGCCGAGACCCCCCCGTCCCCTCCTACATGTCCGAGGCGATCTCCTCGGGCAGCGGCCAGACGAAGATGCCGCCCTCGTGGCCCACGGAGACGACGGTCCGCTGGTCCGGCGAGATCGTCGCCGCGGACACGGTGCCGCTGTGGGCGACGCCCTTGGCGAGGAAGATGCCGCCGTCGTAGTCCCAGAGCTTGACGCTCTTGTCCGCGGACCCGGACACGAAGTACTTGCCGTTGTCGGAGATGGCCAGCGCCGTCATCTCGCCGTCGCCGCCCTTGACGACGCGGATGGCGTCGCCGCTGGACGCCTCCCAGTAGGAGATCTTCATGTTCGAGCCGCAGGTCAAAATCTGCGAGCTGTCCGGGTGGTAGAGCACGGAGTTGAACAGCGTCGGCTCGAAGAGCGCCGTGAGGCGCACGTAGCGCTCGAGGCACCAGACGAGGCACGCGCCGTCCTTGGACGACGAGATGCACTGGTCGCGCTCCGTCGTGATGCGGATGCACGTCACGGCGGACCGGTGCTCCTTCATGGAGTTGAGCAGCGCCTGGTGCGAGTGCGTGATCTTCCAGACGCGGACGCGGCCGTCGACGCCGCCCGTGAGCAGCCGCCAGGGCGCGCCGGACCGCGTCTGCACGCAGCCGCCCTCCTTGCACAGCGCCAGCGCCGTCACGGCTTCCGCGTGGGCGTCGGGGATGGCGAACTTGAGCTTGCCCGACTCGGGGCCGAACGCGCGGACCTTGCCGTCGGACCACCCCGTGACGACGACGTCGCCCACGGCCGTCACGCCGACGCACTTGCACTCCAGGTTCGGCACCTGGATGCGCAGCAGCTCGGCCCGCTTCGCCGCGTCCCAGACCCGGATGTCGGCCACGGAGCAGGTGATGAAGACCTGGGACGAGTACTCCGGGAAGCAGACGTCGAAGACGGCGCCCGTGTGCGCGGTGCCCTTCAAAAAGGGCTCGCGCCCGAGGTCCTGGATCTCGTAGCGGTTCGCCAGGTCCGTGCCGATCGCTAAAGCCCGCGGGTTGTCCGGCAGCGCCGACAAGGAGGTCACGCCTCCGGACACCTGGGCCGTCCAGCGCTTGAAGTTGCGCATGTCCGCCGTCATGAACGCGACGGTGCCGTCGCCCGCGCCCGCGGCGACGACGTCGAGCCCGTCCGCGGACGCGCCGGGCATCACGCAGATGGACTTGACGCCCTTGCCGAAGCGGTCCTTGGACGTGTTCACGAGCCGGGGCACCATGCGGTCCGGGTCGTTGTAGGCCAAAATCGGATCGCGGTTCACGTCGATCTGCAACACCTCGCCCGTCTGCGTGCCGCACATGGCGTAGTCGTCGTCGGCGGACACGTCGACGCACTGGACGACGCGCTTCATCTTGCCCATCTTCGCGTCCATGGGGTGGATCTTCGGGCCCGACGGGTCCACGTGCCAGACGCGGACGTGGTACTTGCCGGCGGTAACCAAACGGTGCGGGTTCCGCTTGAGCCAGCTGACGCACAGCACCGTGTCCGGCGCCGCGGGCACGCCGCAGATCGCGTTGCCCGTCCGCGTGTCCCAGATGACGAGCGAGTTGTCGTCGCGGCCGCCGATGGTCGCGAGCGACCGGTCGTCGCACGAGAACGACAGCGCCTGCACGCCCGCCAAATGCTGCCGGAGCACGTGCACGGGCCCCAGGGACCCGTGGCCCGCGCCGCCCTGCAGCACGCGCTCGCAGGCCTCCTCCAAATCCCAGAGCATGACCGGCGCCTCGACGCCGAGCTGGTTCGTCTGGCCCGACGCGAGCATGCGGCAGTCGTGGCTCACGGCGACGCAGGACACACTGCGGCTGTGGCCCTGGAGGAAGGCGACGCCCTCCTTGCGCGTCGCGTGCTTCACGACGACCATGGCCCCGAGCGGGAACGTGATGAAGGGCTCCCCGCGGTAGCTCACGGCGTGCAACCCGCCGAGGACGCCGCCGCTGAAGCCGAGGCAGCTCGACGGGTGGAGGGCCGCGATGTCCTCGTTGGGCGGCATGTTCGCGACTCACGCGGCGGCGCGGCCGAGGCGGGTCGAGAGGCAGGCTGGCGGCGTCCGGCGCGTCGCCGCGGGCTGCGCAAACCGCCGGCCACCCGCGTTGTTGCTCGCAGTTTTGCGGTGCGATGATACAATCGCGCGGGGTGACGTCGACCTTAACGCTTTGAGGGCCTCGATGGTGCCGCTTGATTGCACTTCTGGATCGAAGCAGGCCGTGCCGTCGTCTGAGCGGCCGAAGCCATGGCCGTGGACGTCGCCGTGTTCATGGAGGAGCACGGCTTCACGCCCGAGGAGGCCGCCGTCGTCACGGAGGAGACGGACCACCTCGAGGAGCTGATCCTCGCCGACGACGGCGACCTCGAAGATATCGCGGAATCCTTCCTCCTCCTGCCGCGGCTGCGCTTCCTCCGCGTCGTCCGCGAGGCCCGCGCGGCCGCCGCCGCGGACGCCGCCGCCGCGGAGGTCGATGCGCGGCGCGCGGCGGCCGCCGACGCCCGGCCCCACGACACGCGCCGGCGCGGCCGGCCCGCGGCGCCCGCGCCGTTCGACGACGTGGTCGCGCAGGCGAAGCTCGACGCGATCTCGGTCAAGCTGCCCTGCGGCCAGGTCGCGCGCAACGAGTTCGTCGACAAGGACGGCGTCCCGCGGCGCCAGTTCGCGGTGACCGACGGCGTCATCCGCTGCTACGTCTGCGAGGTGCGCGTCGCCGACGGCCGGGGTCAGCGAGCGGTCACGACGAAGGACGCGCGTGTGGGCAATTACCTGAACTGGGCCAAGTGTCATTCCGGCCAGTTTAACACCAATTCCAACCGAAATCTGCATTACGACGAGCTCAGCCGTCTCGTCGCGGGCGCCGCGCCCGCGCCCGCGGCCGCCGCCGCGCCCGCTCCGGCGCCCGCCGCGGCGCCCGCTCCGGCGCCCGCCGCGCCGCCCGCCCCGGCGCCCGCGGCCCTGCCCGGGGTCATCGAGCTCGAGGCCAACAGCGTCAAGGAGTGGTACGGCTGCGACGCGTGCGGCGCGTGGCGCCTGCTGAGCAGCCCCCCGGCGGAGGACTACTGGACCTGCGGCATGAGCCCCGAGCTGCCGCTCGGCTGCGCGACGCCCCGGCCCGACCCGAAGGACCTCTTCAACTCCTGGAGCTGCGACCGCTGCGGCAACCGCTTCGCGACGGCCTGGGACGACGACGACTACGGCAAGAACGGCGTCCCCGTCCTCTGCGACGACTGCGACGCGGGCCCGAAGAAGCGCAAGGCGCCGGCGGCCGCGTCGCCGGCCAAGTCGCCGGCCAAGTCGCCGGCGAAGCGCGCGCGCGCGGACGCGGCGAGCGAAACGGACGCGGTCGCCGCCGCGGAGCGCGCCGTCGCGGAGCTCGACCTCCGCGTGCCGCTCTCGGGCGCGCGCGAGGTCGGCAACGCCTTCGTCGACGCCGCCGGCGCGCCGCGGCGCCAGTTCGTCGCCATGGGCGCGGACGTGACCTGCGCGCTCTGCCCCGACTTTGGGCGGAACGGGAAGCAGGTCGAGCGGTCCTGGCGCGGCAGCGACGCCGGCCTGCGGTCCAAGATCGTGACCCACGCGGGCAAGAAGTGCCACGTCGCCGAGGTCGAGCGGCTCGTCGGCGGCCGCGGCGACGGCAGCCCGCCCCTGCGGAGCGCCTACTACGACGGCGCGAAGCCCGCCGGCGCGCCGCCGCCCGCGCGGGCGCCGTCGTCGCCTCGGGCGCCGTCGCCGCGGGGGGCGCCGGCGCCGGCGCTCGCGCTCACCGATGCCTCGGTGCAGGCGAAGCTCGACGATATCCCGCCGCGCGAAATCTGCGGCGCGACCGTGCGCAACGAGTTCGTCGACAAGGACGGCGTCCCGCGGCGCCAGTTCACGGTGACCGACGGCGTCATCCGCTGCTACGTCTGCGAGGTGCGCGTCGCCAACGGCCGGCAAAAACCTGGAGAGCATAGATTGACGACGACAAAGTCGGCGGCCGACTTCGCCGCCAAGGGCTCTGTCGTCGAAGCGTTCCAGGGCGTCCGCGACTGGGCAAAGAAACACGGCGGCTACTACGCAGGTAAGGGGGGTGCGCACGTCGACGAGCTCAAGCGGCTCATGGGGCGCGCGGCTCCGGCGGCGCCGGCTCCGGCGGCGCCGGCTCCTCCGGCGCCGGCGCCGGCGGCGCGGCCCATGGCCCACGACCTCTTCGAGACGGCCACGGAGCCGGAGTGCGACGCCGCGTCGGCCGGCGCCGAGGCTCCGCCGCCGGCGCCCGCGGAGCGCGACCGCGCCGCCGCCGCCGCGCCGCCTCGGGGCCCGCCGCTGCGCGCCCAGGTGGTCCGCGGCGACGTCAAGCCGAAAGAATTCCGCGGGATCGTCGCGGCCCGCCTCGGCGCGGCGCCCGGCGCGCTCAAGCCCTTCAAGGGGGCGCTCGTCGCCGTCCTCGAGTCCCACTTCAAGGAGTCCGCCGCGGAGGGCCCCCTGACGCTCTCGCTGTAAAGAGTGTGTGTTGTGGTCGAGATTTTAGCGGGTCGATAGTCTGCGATCGCTGTTGCACAGAAACTCCTGCGGCAAATCTGCCGATCTTGGTCTGGCTTCACACTCCGACGCCCCGCATACACCATGGTCGCGCCCACGCTCATCTCCGTCGACGTCTCGAAGCCCGCTTGGGAGCAGGATCCCGAAAAGCCGCTCCACAACCGCTGGCACCCGGATATTCCGGCCGTCGCCTCGGTGAAAGAAGGCGAGGTCTTCAAGGTCGAATGCATCGACTGGACGGGGGGCCAGATCAAGAACGACGACAGCGCGGACGACGTGAAGGGCGTCGATCTCAGTCAAGTCGCTCCCCGAGTCCCCGACGCGTGACAGGGTCTCGACGCGTCCGCGACCTCTCGACGCGCTCCCCCGTCCGCGACCTCTCGACGCGCGACCGCTCGCCCTCGACGCGGTCTATACGCGTCCCCCACGCCTCGACGCGTCCGCCGGTCTCGACGCGCGTATCCGCCCGCAGGTCCACTACCTCTCGGGCCCCATCGCCGTCGAGACGGCAGAGCCCGGCGATCTGCTCAAGGTCGAGATCCTCGACCTCGGCGCGCTCGAGACCTGGGGCTTCACGGGCACGTTCCACAAGGACAACGGCGGCGGCTTCCTCACGGACCACTACCCCGAGGCGACGAAGGCGTGCTGGGACTTCGAGGGCGTCTACTGCAAGTCGCGCCACATCCCCGGCGTCAAGTTCGCGGGGCTCATCCACCCGGGGCTCATCGGCACGGCGCCGTCGAAGGAGCTCCTCGACATGTGGAACGCGCGCGAGAAGCAGCTCCAGGACGAGCTCGGCACGGGCAAGCAGAAGACGCTGTGCTCGTGCCTCGCGACGCGGCCCCTCGCGTGCCTGCCCGAGCCCGCGGGCGCGCTCCTCGGCAAGCTCGGCCACTTCAAGCACGGCGCGAAGCACGCGTCCTGGGCCGCCGTCGCCGCCGAGGCCGCGCGGACCGTGCCCGGCCGCGAGAACGGCGGCAACTGCGACATCAAGAACCTGAGCCGCGGCTGCGCGGTCTACTTCCCCGTCTTCGTGCCCGGCGCGAACCTGTCCATGGGCGACATGCACTTCTCCCAGGGCGACGGCGAGGTGAGCTTCTGCGGCGCCATCGAGATGTCGGGGTGGCTTGAGCTCAAGTGCACGGTCATCAAGGGCGGCATGAAGCTGCTGCCGGCCGTCGGCCCGAGCCCGCTGAGCGTGAACCCGCTCTTCGAGATCGGCCCCCTCGAGCCGCGCTACTCCGAGTACCTCGTCTTCGAGGGCATCTGCGTCGACGAGCGCGGCGAGCAGCACTTCCTCGACGCGACGCTCGCGTACAAGCGCGCGGTGCTCAACTGCATCAAGTACCTCGCCCAGTTCGGCTACACGGAGGAGCAGATCTACCTGCTCCTGAGCTGCTGCCCCTGCGAGGGGCGGCTCTCGGGCATCGTCGACGTGCCCAACGCCGTCGCGACGCTCGCCGTTCCCCTCGCGATCTTCGACCGCGACGTCCGGCCCTCGGGCACGGCGCTCGAGATGCTCGCCGCGGGCGTCCGCGTCGAGACGACGCAGGCCAAGGAGTCCGACGTCACCGCGGCGGCGATCCCCTACGACGCCAAGCTCGACCGCTGCGTGCCCTGCGCGCCCTAGAGCCCGAGAGTCGCGGCGGCCGCGCTCGAGAAGCCCCGTCCCCCGCTCGACACCCACGGCGGCCGCGCTCGAGAAGTCCCGCCCCCCGCTCGACACCCACCCAAGCACCCTACCCGCGGGGGGCGTGCACATACCCCGCATGTCGATAGAATCCAATGGTAAAGCCTGATCATATCACAGGGGCATTATTCACGGGAGCGACGCTCCGCCGCGGCGCCTGAAGGCCGCGACGCGGTCGCGGGGGGGGAGACCGCCTAGACGGCGACGGGCTCCTCGACCGCCTCGGCGGTGACGGGCTCGGGCGCCTTGTCGCGCGAGCCGAGGGCGGCCTTGATCTTGAGCACGTAGGACAGCGCCGTCGCGTAGGCCGACTCGTACGTCTCGCCCGCGTAGGCCTTGGACGACTCGTAGGTCTCCACCGTGTACACCTTCGCGCCCGCGTACTTCTCCTTGACCTTCTTGTCCGTGGCCTCGTACGTGTCGCCGACGTACTTGACCGCGGGCTCGACCTGCGAGCGGGATTCGTTTTCGGACGTCCGATCGACGCGAACCGACGCCGGCGCGCGCGTACGGCTCGACGACGGTCTCGTTGACGAGCGTCTTCGTCTTCTCGTACTTCTCCGTCGTGTAGCTCTTGGTGGACTCCGCGTACTCCGTGAGCGACATCTTGAGGGTCTCGAGGCGGGTCGGGGCCTCGGTCTTGGTCTCCTCCGGCTGCGTCTCCTCAAATTCGGCCATTGTCGGTTCGGGCGGGGGCGGCGAGGGCTTGGGTGGCGGAGGCGAGCGGCTTCCGGCGCGTTTAGACGCGCGTTTTTTGCGACGAAGGAGTCGAATTTTGTTGGCCTCGGCGAATCGCAGTCGTGGCCACCGCAGAAAATTGCTCGCCCGCCGAGCAGACGCAGGCCGCAAGGCCTCGGCCGTACAAGCGTCGCCGACAGCTGATACCGACCTCGAGGCGGCAAAGCACGGCGTCCGCTCTGGACAGAGCCGCTTACGCCAAAACACGTCACGCGACCTCCGGGACGACCGCGCGGGACCGGGAGTAGTAGCCCGGCGTCGCCGCCGCGGGCTGGCGCGGCGTCGTGTGCGGGGGCATGCCGCGCGGCGAGCTCCGGGCCGAGGGCGCGCCGGAGGGCGCGGCGCTCGGCGGCGCGAGGACCACGGGCGGCGGGCCCGGCGGCGGCGCGAACGCGCCCGGCGGCGGCGGGTACGCGGCCGGCGGGTACGCGCCCGGCGGCGGCGGCGGCGGCGGCTGCTGCTGCTGCTGCGCCCGGAGCTGGGAGAGCGCGGACCGGAGCTGGGCGAGCTCGTCGCGGTGCTTGACGAGGCGCAGGATCTCCGTCTCGAGGCGCGCGTTGTGCTCCGCCGTCGCGTCCGCGGAATTCGCGGCGTCCGTCGCGGCCTTGTCGGCGCGGTGGAGCTTGGTCCGCAGCGCCGCGACGGCCTTGTCCCGGTCCGCGAGGGCGCTGAGGAGGAACTGGGTCGGCTTGGCCGCGTCCGCGAGCTTCAACTTTGTCAGCGCGGCGTCCGCGGCCGCGGCGGCCGCGGCCGCGCGCGCGCCGTCCTCGCCCTGGAGCGACTCGCGGAGCTCGGCCTCCGTCCTGAGCAGCTTCTGGGCGAGGAGCACGGCGTGGCGCACGCGCCGCTCGGGCCGGCTCAGGCCCGCGGCGAGCGCGGCGTCGCGGAGCTCCGGCGACGCGAGCACGTTCCCGTTCGCGTCGACGCCCCGCGTGCCGTCGGCGCAGCGCAGCACGGCGGAGTCGAGCTCGAGCTCGAGCGTCTCGTAGGCGCGGACCTTGTGCTCCAGCCCGTCGACGGTCGCGTCGCGCTCGCGCCTCGACGACGCCAGCCGCTCCTCGAGCGCGGCGACCTCCCGGCTCGCGACGTCGACCTGCTCCTTGAGCGCGCCGTTCTCGATCTTGAACGCCGCGGCGTCGCGCTCCGCGCCCTGGAGCCGCGTCGACGACGCCGCGAGCTCGTAGGCGAGCACGCGCCGCTCCGCCGCGGCCTCGGCCATATCAGCGACGCGGCGGCTCTCGGCCTCGGCGGCGTCGGCGCGGGCCGACGCCGCGGCGCGCTCGCTGCCGAGGCGCGCCTCGCGCTCGCGCCGCGCGTCCTCGACGGCGTCCGCGCGCGCGTCCCGCAGCGCCGCGAGTTCGCGGCCCTCGAACGTCTCGCGCTCGCTGCGGATGATCGTGATCTGCTTCTCCGTTGCCGCCGCGAGCTCCGCGGACCGGTCCTCGAGGCGCGCCCGGAAGTCGTCGGCGTTCGCCGCGAGCGCCTTCTGCGCGTCCGCGAGCGCGACCCTTTTTTCGCGCACGGCCTCGTCGGACAGCGCCGCGCGGTAGTCCGCGCCGTCCGCGCGCTTCGCTTCCGCGGCGGCGACGGCGCGCTGGTGCGCCGCCTCGGCCTGGGCGACCTCGGCGACGCGCTCCGCCGCCGCGATGCGCCGCAGCGCGTCGCCCTCGATCGCGGACGCGTCCCTCACCGCGTCCAAACTCTTGCCGTGCTGCTCCTCGAGGAAGGAGAGGCGCGCCTCGAGGCGCTTCTTGGCGATCTCGCAGTCCGCGAGCTTCGCCGCCGTGCGCAGGCCCGCCTCGACGTCGTCGCGCGACCGCGCGACGCGCGCCAAGGCCGCGTCGAGATCCTTCTTCGTGCTCTCGAGCTCGAGCTCGAGGGACCGCTCGCGCTGGCGGCTCCGGTGCTCCAAAGCCTCCAGGTCGACGCGCGCCGCCCGCTCGCTCTTCTCGCTCTCGCGCCGCGCGTCCGCGGCGTCCGCCGCGGCGCGCGCCGCCTCGGCGCGCGCCGCGCGGCTCGCGTCGCCGGCCTCGACGACGCGCACGGTGGCGAGCTCGCGCAGGGTCAGCTCCTCCAGGGGCCGCGTGCGCAGCTCCTCGACGAGGGCGAAGACGCGCTCGTCGCCCGCGTCGTCGCCGCCCTCGCCGCGGCGCGCGTGCGACTAAACCGTCGCGGAACCCCGCGTCGATGGCGTCGCGCCGGTCCCGGAGCGTGCGCTTCACGCGCGCGAGCTCGCCGCCCAGACTCTCGACGCGGCTCCGCAGCTGGCCGTTGTCGCGGCCGAGGGCCTCGAGGCGCTCTCCGTACGCCTCCCGCTCCGCGTGTCTTTTCTCGGTCGCGCTCTGGAGCTCGGCCTCGAGCTGCTGGCGCAGGCCGTACTCGAGGTAGTTGCCCGGCGCCCGCGGCGCGCCTCCGGGCCCGCTCGCGACGGATCCGAGGTTGTCGAAGGACTCGGGCAGCGACAGCGTCGGCGACGAGGACGCCGCCGACGACGCCGACTTGAAGAGGCGGCCGGGCGGCGGCGACAGGCCCAGCGCCGACGGCCGGAAGTCGCCGAGCGCGCCGAGCTCCTCGTCCTCGGACGCGTCGCCGAGGTCCGACGACACGGCGCTCCGCTCGTCGTCGGCGCCCTCCATCGGTGGGCAGTTTGCGTTCGGGATGTTCGAACGGGAGGGCTGCCCACGGTGCGGGGCAACTCCGGCCCAACGGGCAGCGCATGGGCACCTCTTTTGGGCACCCCTGTGAGATGATGTGAGCATGCGATGGCCCTCCGCGCGTGGCTGTGCGTCGCCGCGACGCTCGCGATGCCCGTGGACGAAGACCTGCCCTGCGCCTGGGTCCGCTCGTCGACGTCGGATCGTTGCGTGGCGCCGCCCATGGAGCGCCGGACATGCAGCGTGACCCTGGCGCAGTGCGAGGCGCGCTACGCGCCCCTGCTCGCGCGCATCGCCAGGGACCTGGCGCCCTGGGAGGCGACGGGCATCACCGACGCCATGGTCGACGCGCGCGCGGCTCGGCGGTCCGCCGTCGGCGACGACTTGTGGCTCGGCGCCCGCAACGGCACGCTCGCCGTCGCGCGCGTCAAGCCCAAGGGCTACAAGGGCCGGGGCCACAAGGCCTACGCCCACCTGAAGCGGGCGCTGGAAACGGTCCGCGGCGGCGTCTTAACGCGACGAACCTCCCCACGAACGTTAACGTTAACGTAGGTCTGCGATGTCCCCGACGGGTCGATCCTCTACTCGACGAGCGACCACGCGCCGGACCTCGCCCACGCCGACGGGGCCGCGCCGTCGCACGCGCCGCTGCACGTCTTCTGCGCGCGCAGAGCCGACCGCCTCAGCGTCCTCGCGCCCGAGGCGCCGTCCTTCGGCGTCGACTACGACGACGTCGTCGCGAAACTCCGCGACAACGCGAACAAGAGCGGCGACGACCGGCTCTGGTTCGCGGGCAAGGTCGCCGGGCCGGGCAACGAGGCGCGCGCCGCCGCGGGCAGGCTCGCGTCGGCGCGGCCCGACCTCCTCGACGTGCGCCTGTCCGCGGGCGACGCGCGCGTCGGGGCCGAGGACCAGTGCCGCCACGCCTTCGCGCTCTACCTCCACGGCTCCGCGTGCTCCGGCCGGCTGAAGCGCCTCGTCCACTGCGGCTCGGCGATCGTCTTCCCCAAAGCGGCCGGCGGCGTCGTGCCCGACGGTCAGTACGAGGAATTCTTCTACGACGCGCTCATCGAGCCGGGCGCGACGGTCGTCCCCGCGGCGGACGTCGCGGACCTCGAGCGCGTCATGGACGAGGCGCGGGCGGACCCGGCGCCCGCGCGCCGCGCCGCCGCGGAGCTCGACCGCCGCGCCGCGGCCCTGCTCAGCGAGGAGAGCGTCGCGTGCTACTGGGCGGCGCTGTTCCGCGAAAACGCGCGGCTGAGGCGCAAGGGGACGTCGCGATCCTAAGCTTACGCCGACGGCCGCGGCGTCCCGCACGCGTCGCACGCGAGGAACGCCTCCGCGTTGAGCAAGGTGCAGACGGCGCAGGTCCACTCCGGCTCCGCGGACGGCGCCGCCGCCGGTTCCGGTCGCGGCGGCGCGGCGGGCGGCGCGGCGGGCGGCGGCGGCGCGGGCGGCGGCGCGGGCGCGACCGGCGCGACCGGCGCCGCGGACCCGCGCAGCACGAGCCGCAGCGGGCAGTGGTCCGAGCCCATGAAGCCGTCGCGGCCGACGCCCCGGCCGAGCAGGTCGCAGGACTCGACGGCGACGCCCGTGGACACGAGCGCGTGGTCGATGCGCATGCCCTTGCCGTAGTACCTTCCCGTCTCCGGCAAACCATCCCTTCCCGGCGGCCCCCGCCAGGAGAAGTGGGGCCCCTCGATCGTCGCGGCGCCGGCGCCGGCGCCCCGCGCGTCCCGGAACGCGTCAAAGAGCCCGCCCGCCCGGAGCAGCGCGTCGAAGTAGCGGCTCTCGCGCGGCGTGCAGCCCGGCTGGCCCTCGTCGTCGGCCTCGAGGCGCTCGCGGTCCTTGCCGAGGCGTTTTCCCGGCTGGTTGCTGTTCCACGCCCGGAACCAGGCGGGGTGGCTCAGGTCGTCGTCCGTCGGCGCGCAGTTCAGGTCGCCGACGTAGACGAGGCTCCGCCCGCGCACGCGGACGGCCTCCGCGAACGCGCGGACCTTGGCCTCCCAGAGCCGGCGCCGCTCGAAGGACTTGGCGTCGTTGCCGTTGTTCGGCGAATACGTGTGCAGGACCACGAGCGTCTCGTACTCGAGCACGATGACGCGGCCGTCGGGGTCGTGGTCGTCCGCGAAGGCGACGGAGTTCCTCGCCGGCGGCGCGTCGGGCGGCTCCAGCGAGAAGGACACGCGCCGCGGCGCGGGGCCGTCGCTCCGGAGCAGGCAGCACGTGCCCGCGTAGCGCCAGTCCGCGAGCGAGTAGATGGGCGCCGCGAAGGGCCCGACGTCGAGGAGCGCGGCGCACTGGACCTTGTCGTCGTGGAATTTGTCGTTGACGCGGCGCCGATTCCTCGGCGCGCCGTCGCCCTTCTTCGCGCCCTTGTCGCAGTGCGCGGCGAGCTTGACCTCCGAGAGGAAGACGACGTCGGCGCCGCAGGCGCCGAGGAAGTCGCGCACCTCGCGCCGGTTCTGCGTCGCGCGCGATTTCAAGTTCTCCACGTTCCAGCAGATGATGGTCCGCGGGTCGCCGCGGGGCGCGAGCGTCGCCGCCTTCCGTGCGACCTTCGCCGGCGCGCCGCCGCCGCTGAGGAAGCGCTTCATTCAGGAGGCGACGCGCGACGCGGAATGGCAGGCTCCGCGAGCCCCTGCGCAAAAGTGAGGACTAGCACAAGTCCATGTCCTTGTGGCACGAGTTCAATCTCTGGTTCAACAAAGGCTCGAGGCCGAGGCTGCCGCTGAGGCTGCCCTCACCGCAACGCGCCGTTTTGCGACAGTCCTTCCCGGCGCGATGCGTTCGTCGTTGGGAGCGCTGGCGTGCTGCTGGCTCCTGGCGGCCGCGGACGCCGGCGCGATGCGTTCGTCGTTGGGAGCGCTGGCGTGCTGCTGGCTCCTGGCGGCCGCGGACGAGTCGGCGGCGCCGACGGCGCTGCCGTCCTACAGCGCGAGCCCGACGGTCGCGCCGTCGTCGCCGCCCACGGCGTCGCCGTCGTTCAGCCACGACCCGACCCTGAGCCCGTCGACGGCGGCGCCGACGTCCAGCTTCGCGCCGACGACGTCTCCGTCCTACGCGCCGACCTACGCGCCGAGCACGGCGGCGCCGACCACGGGCGCGCCGACGGCGACCCACCGGCCCACCGCGTCGCCGACGACGGCCGCGCCGACGACGGCCGCGCCGTCCGCGGCGCCGTCGACGGCCGCGCCGACGGAGGACCCGACGGCCGCGCCGACGCCGACGCCGTCGACGGCCGCGCCGACGACGGCGAGCCCGTCGTTCTCGCCGACGACCAGCCCCCAGCCGACCGCGAGCCCCCGTCCCACGGCGACGCCGACGACCGCGCTGCCGTCGTCCTCGCCGACGACCGCGGCGCCGTCCTACGCGCCGACGACGGCCGCGCCGTCGGCGACGGCCGGCCCGACGACCTTCGCGCCCGTGCCGCGGCCGGACCCGGGCCTGCCCGGGAGCGAGTACACGGAGCCGCCGACGACCGCGGCCCCGAGCGCGGCCCCGTCGTATCGGCCGACGCAGGAGCCCACGAGCCCGCCGCCCTTCGCCGTGGTCATCGCGTCGTCCTTCCCCGTGCGCATCACGGGCGGCCTCGCCAACGTCACGGCGGCCCTCGTGACGCCGCCGACGGCGAAGACGCTGGTGCGAGTGCTGTCCGTCGTCGACGACGAAGCCGCGACCCTTTTCGCGGACCTCCGCGGCGCCACGCAGCCGCGGACGCCGGCGCCGAGCGCCGCGCCCTGCGCGGATTCGGAGAGTTGGACCTTCGACGGCAACGACGCCAAGGACTGCGCCTGGGTCGCGGAGAAGCCGGACGCGCGCTGCGCCAAGGTCGGCGGCGACGGCGAAACCGCCGCGGACGCGTGCTGCGCGTGCGAAGAAGCCGCGCCGAGCGCCGCGCCGACGGCCTACTCCTACTCCTACGCGGAGCGGCGGCTCGACGAGACCTACAGCTACAGCTACGAGGCGCCGGACGCGTTCCTCTCGTTCAACTTCACCGCGGACGGCGGCGGCGACTCGGACTTCCTCGCGGCCGGCGACGTCGTCGACGCGTTCGTCGCGGACGCCGTCAACGCGTCGGACTTCGGGGTCCTGGACGCCATCTTCAAGAGCTACGCGGCCGACCTGCCCGTGGCCGTCGACATCCTGCGCTTCGACGCGGCCTGGCTCCGCGGGGCCACGAGCGTCGCGAACTACACGTACCCGTCGACGCCTGTGTGGAATTCAACCACCGGTTTGGGTGGTCCTGACCAAACTTCAGAATTCTCTAACTCGGTCAAATCGAAGTCGATTCGGCTGATTTTTGGACGGATCGATTGCTCTCGTCGAGTTCTCGAAGCACAGCCGAAGAGATTGCGTCGAAACTGTCGCGTGCGCGCACATTGAATTCGGGTTGAAGATTTGGTTTCCACACAGGTCGGCGCCGCGGAAGCGGAGGAAGGACAAGACCTTCGAGCTCTGGGTGAAGCGCGCCTTCCGCAAGGTGCGGCGGAAGCGCGACTCCACGCTCTTCTACATCCTCTACCCGTTCATCTGCTGCTTCTGCTGCGGGTGCTGCCTGACGCCGCTGGCGATCGCGCGGCGCGGCCGGCCCCCGAAGCCGCCGCCGCCGCCGCCGCCGGACGTCGAGCGGCCGCCGCCGCCCGTCGTCGCGCCGGCCGTCGTCGAGCGGCCCGCCGCCGTCGAGGCGCCCGCCGCCGACGACCGCGCGGACGTCGCCGACCTCCGCGACGGGCGACGGCCGTCGACGCCGCCGCGCGCGATCGAGGCGCGGGAGAAGCGCGCGCTCCTCGAGGACGTCGACGACGTCCTGGCGGACTTCCGGAAGCAGATGACGGCCGTCGACGCGCTGGCGCCGACCTACGCCGTCGCGAAGTGGCGCTGGGCCGACGAGGACGCGAACCCGAAATCGCCGATGCGCCTCTTCGGCCGCCACCGCCGCGGCGGCGCCGTGAGCCCCGCCACCGCCGCCTTCGCGACGCCCGCGTCGCCGATTTAAGCGCCGCAGGGGGGCCCGCAGAGGCAGGGGAAGCCGCAGCGGGACGCGCGCGTCGCCGCCCGGAGCGCGCACGCGCAGCCGCCTTCGTCGCGCGGCGCGCACCGCCGCCCGCCGCGCACGAGCGCCGCGGTCGCGACGCGCCGCGGGCCCGACACGACCTCGACGGCGACGAGGCCGTGGCGCGCCTCGAGCCGCGCGAGGAGCGGGTCGCCGTCGTCGCCGTCGAGCTCGAGCAGCACGACGCGCGCGCGGTCGAGGAGGCCCGCGAATTCGTCGGAGATGCCGGCGACGCAGGCCTCGCAGTCGACGATGACCACGTCGAAGCGGCCCCCGTGCGCCGCTTCGAGCGTCTCCACGGCGTGGCTCGCGACGGGCGCGCCGTCGTCGCCGCCGGCGACGAGGTGCGCGCCGTAGCCGCGGCCCGCGAGGCGCCAGCCGCGTTCGCGCGACAGCGCGCCCTCGTAGACCGTCGCCCCGCCGCAGCCCCGGCGCCGGAGGTTGCCGCGGAGCGCCGCGAGGACGGCCGCGTCCGGCTCGAGGCTCGCGACGGTCCTCGCGCGGCGCGCGGCCGCGCACGTCGTCGTCCCGTAGCGCGCGCCGAGCTCGAGCACGGCGTCGCCGCGCCGCACGTGGGACGCGACGAAGCGGTGGAGGCCGTGCTCCTGGACGCAGGCCGCGGGCTTCAGCGGTTCGCCGGCCTCGTCGAAGAAGCCACAGGACGTGCCGTCGCTGTCGAAGGGCCAGCCGAACTGCTCGCTGTTGTTGCCGCCGCGCAGCGTCTGCCGGTGCGCCTTGTAGCAGCGACTCGTGAGCGGGAACTCCTTGGCGACGCAATACGGCAGCAGGAGGAGGACGAGGGTCTTCATTGCATCCCGACTTTGACTTTGACGCTCGCCCAGCGTGTCCAATGCCTCATCATGAGCTGCCCAACGCAATACGGCAGCACAATGGTGAGCGCCCGCACGAGCATGGCGCCATAGGCTGGTAGATGAGGCTGCCAGTGAGGCTGCCCGGCCGACCTTGAGTCGCACAGTGCCGCGGCATCGAGAGGAGGTGGAGGCGCTTCGGAACACTGAGCGCTGTCAAGGACTCAGCCGCTCGTAAAAGCGACGTGACCACAGCGACTCAGCCGCATTGCTCGCAGACGCGACGTGACGACAGCGAACACCGAGGCGAGGCAGCAATGGCAAGCTTCGCGGCGACGGAGCAAGCGGCCTTCGTCCTGCCCGACGCGGCGGACGTGCTCGAGTCGGCGACGCCGGCGCTCACGAGCTTCCGCGTCGTCGTGACGCCGCACCGCTGCATCAAGGTCATCCTGCACTACCAGGCCGGCTACCCGGCGACCGCCGCCGTCGTCGAGGTGCGCAACCCGGCCTACCCGCCGCCGCTGCTGAAGAAGATCCTCGCCGCCGCGGAGGACGCGGCGGCGGCGGCCGCCGCCGAGGGCCGCGGCGCGCTCGCGCCCGTCGCCGCCGCCGCGCGCGCGTTCCTCGAGGGCAACCGCTTCGTGCCCTGCTGGCGCGAGCTGCGGCGCTGCGCTTTGCTCTGCGAGCGCCGCGGCGGCGGCATGGCGGGCGCGAACCCGGCGAAAGGCGTCGCGCGCTTCGCGGCGAAGACGGGCGCCTACGCCGTCGAGTTTTCCGTGACCGTGCCCGCGGACTACCCGGCCGCGGGCGTCGAACTCGCCGTCCGGGCGTCGGACTTTTCGCGGCCGCTCGTCGACGTCCAGCTCGCGCAGGTGAGGGAGCTCGTGCGCCGCTGCGCGGCCGGCGCCGACGTCGACGCGGCGAAGCGCCTGAGCGACCCCGTGGCCGCGTCCGCCGCGCGCCTTGGCGCCGGCGACGACCGCGGGCCCCGCGTGACGGCCAGCGGGGCGCACTTTCGATCGCTGAAGTGGGACATGAAGGCGCTGAAGAAGATCGCGGACCTGCGCGACGTCGGCGCGGAAAGGACGAAGCGCGGCGTCCCGGCCCACGGCCGCGAGGAGCGCAGGGGCGCGAAGCGGGAGCTGAAGACGCTCGCGCGCTTCGAGGGCGCGCGCGACGCCGCGGCGCACGCGGCGCTGTCGGCGACCGCGGCCGAGGCCGCCGCGGCGCCGCCCGTGCCGTCGCTGTTCGCCGCCGTCGAGGCGCTCGTCGACGACTTCGCCGCGCGGCTGCCCGAGGAGACGTGCCAGTGCTGCGGCGCGCGCGTGCTCCCCGAGGACCCGGCGTGTCCCGCCGCCGCGGGCGACGAACCGACGCGCGCCCTCTGCGGCCACTGGTTCCACTACGCGTGCCTCGAGAAGGCGCTCACGGGTCCGCCCTTCGCGCTCTCCTGCGGCGCCTGCGACCGGCGCGTGTGGCACCCGGCCTGGCCCGACGCGGCGAAGCTCAAGGAGGCCTGGCACGCGCGCGAGCGCCGTACGCACGAGGCGGACATGTGCGCGGACCTGTTCCTGGACCCCCGCGCGAACCGCCGCGCGCCCTAAGCGGACTTAGGCCGCGGTCTTCGGCGCCGCCGCCGCGTCCGGCGCCGCCGCCGTCGCCGCGGCGGCCGTCGTCGTCGTCTTCGCCGCCTCCGCCGGAGGCTCGCTCCGCATGCTCTCGACGAGGTCCTCCCAGGCGCTCGCGGCGGCCGCGGCGCGCTTGGGCTCGACGGGCTTGTCCGCGAGCTCGCCCCGGAGCCGCGCCATGTTCGCCTCGAGGTTCCGGTCGAAGGCCGCGGCCTCGTGGGCCCGCAGCGCCGCGCGGAGCTCCTCGACCTCGAGGTCCCGCGGGCTCCGCTGCCAGCCCAGCAGCTGCTTGACCCAGTCGCCGAGGCGCTGCGCCTCGGAGACGCCGTGGAGCGCGACCGTCCAGTCCCGCAGCGCCTCGTAGAGCGCGATGCCGCGGTAGTTGACGGACCGGAGCGGCGGCGCCGACCGCCGCGCGCCGAAGAGCGGGCCGAAGCGGAGCTTGTCGTGCGCGTAGTACGTGATCGTCGGGTACTGGCGCACGCCGGCCGCGGCGCAGACGCGGCGGTGCTCCGCGGACGCCTCGCAGGAGAACTTGGCGACGGTGAGCCGCTTCGTGCGCCGCGACGCGTGCCACTTCGCGACCTCGTCCCAGAGGGGCAGCACCTGCCGCGAGTACGAGCCGGCCTCGCCGTAGGGCGAGTAGTAGAAGACCGCGACGTCGGGGCCGCGGTTCGAGCCCAGCGCCAGCGACAGGTTCGCCGCGGGGATGGACACCGTGGGGCCGCCGCCCGTGTTGTGGGACGCAAGGAGGGAATCGAGGAGCGCGCACCGGGCGCCGGCGAGGAGCAGGACGTGCGTCCAGGCGCGCGCCATCGTCGGCGGCTGGGGGAACCGCGCGGAGGCGGCGACGCAGCGGGCTCTGCCGCGCGGCGCGCGGAGGACGGCGTGCGCGTCGGCGTTCAGCGGCGACGGCTGGCTCGTCGCGCGGCGAAGTCGGTGAGCGCGCGGAGGGCTGCGTGCGCGTCCTTGGCGTTCAGCGGCGACGGCTGCTCGACGCGCGGCGGCGACGGTGAGCGGCGAGCACCTTCAATCGACCTCGATCGCACGGCACCACAGATTCATGAAGCCTTCATGACCTCCTAGGGCCGGCGCCACCGGGATCCCGACGGCGATCCGGCGCGATCCCGAGCGATCCCGAGCGATCCCGAGCGATCCCGCGCGATCCCGCGCGATCCGGGGCGATCCCGAGCGATCCGACTGAGTAGTACCGCCATACCCTACTCGTCACGGCCAGAAGGTCGGCCGGCGGCCGACGCCGACCGGCGACGACGCCCGTGGCGGCGCACAGCGCTGAGAAGTCAGCGCCGATCGAGAGCATGCTCTCCGGCTTCGGCCCCGAGCGCTGCACGCCGCGCGCGTCGTTCCAGGCGAGGAACACACGTCGCCACGGCCGGGCCTGCTCGTCGCTTCTCGAGGCGAGCGCGCGCGACGTCGTGCGAGCCGGAGCTCGTGGTCGGCCTCATGCTCTTCGGGGCGAGGGCGGCTTCGCCGGACGCGCGCGCGCCGGCCCCGGCCGCCGCCGCGGCGCACGAGATCCTGCGTAGACGTCGCCTGGGGCGCGATGCCACCCTGGATGCCCATGGACGCCGGCGACGGCCGCGGCCGCGGAGTCGGCGCGGCGGACTCGGCGCGCGCACCGGCGGCCGGCCGAA